CATTTTAGGCTGAAGCAAATTACATATACACAGATCCTGCCATGTCCTTCAAATTCACCTTCAGATATATCGATGACGTATTGCCTTTAAATAAAAAGAGACGTATAAACCACATGAATTGTAAACTGAACCAAATAAAAACGCAATTTTACTATGGTGGCCATCTTGATGACGTCATAACCGGAAGTTCGTCCCAACTTACACAATGTTAACATTCATATTCGTGATCAGGACGTCATGGGGCTTCAGAAAAATATTGGTTCGGAGGTTTGTGGGGGGTTGGGGGTGGAGGGGGTGGACCCTTTTAGCTCCCGACTGAACCAAATAAAACGCAAGTACATTATCACGTGAAAAATTTGAAGTTGTGAGTGCAAAAGATGAAATGGCGTACTTTTTGTTCACTACCGACACTGTTCACACCGACGCATGTGCAATGCGTAAAATCGTGAATTCTGTACGTGCAATCACGGGTGTTGCCAATACATGTGAGTTTTCACCGAGACGTGCCCTTTATAAATTTTCCGTCCAAAAAATTCATTCAATGAAGGTAGCACATGGAACACGATCTCAATATTTACACAATTTCAGAGAGGAATCGCTCTTGGAAGTTTTTTTTTATTATTTTTTCAAACCACACATGACAAAACATAACAATACATAATATGGATTCACTTATAGGCTCACTCAATCGCTCAATCTTCATCATCATCATCATTATTCATCATCATCATCATCATCATCATACACACTTAAAATCATCGAATTCCCTATCATTGCCATGATCATCCTCATCGAAATTATCATCAACAACCTATCTTATACCATAATCATCTTCAGTATCATCTGCTTATAAACACCGATTTCCAATCAGCCAACAATCACACAATGTTACCATATTTTTAAACATAATCAACATGTCAATCATCCACAGATAGGAAGTGTAATTAGATATCATCAATGATTCAATATGTTAGCCTTGTATTAATTTCATTATTACACAATCATCATCAATCAATTGAACATTTCATCTTTTCACACTCATCAGTGCCATAGTCATCAGACATCACTGCAACATTCTTCAACATCATAAAGTTTAAACGCCGATCTTCAGTTCAAACACTAAATGAGAGACAGCTATGTGAATCTCTATTTACTTTGGAGCAAGAGTGTGTGTGTTTGTGTGTGTGTGTGTGTGTTTTTTTTTTTTTTTTTTTTTGAAAAGTGTAGAAATTAAGGTACTTGGAAGTTTGCAGGAGGGTCCCTCCGCCACTGTTGCAGCCCGGCGCTTGGGATGAAATGTAAAGACTATCACAATTCTTGTTGGACGCTTCCAACATACGGGTTCTGTTTCTGATCATCCACATTACTGGAAAATAATGTCACAACAGAATTTTTACATCAGCCGTTTTGAAGTTTTGATAAAGTTCTCATTTGGAAATATGTTATCACTTTGTGCGATATGTGGTTGGGCATGTTTGGTGCTGTTCGTAAGCCTGGTAGTGATGGCGGTTGTCGTCGATGAAGTTAGAAGACCATCTCCTTGTGACGACGGTAGAAGACCATATCCTTGTTATGCTTAAGTAACCCACAGGTAACATCTTCCAGGGCAAAATGGTAAAACAAAGTCGATTTCCTTTTTATTGTATTCAATTGTTTTTGTTCTCATCAAAATAATGAACCTTGACGTATTTTGCAATGTTTTAGAAGAACGTGTACCTTTGTATGATGACGTCGGGTTTTTAGTCTTTGCCATTAAAGAAGTGTTGTTTTCAGTCATATAATAAGATATAAAATTATCGTATATAGTGTAAATAGATTTCTTACAAGGATTTAGATATTTTATCCAATACTAAGGTTTAAGTGAACATTCAAATTCGCCTGCTAAATTTCAACAGTTTAAGCCTAGTGACGAGTCCTACGTGAACGAAACAGCTGTTTGACTTAGTTTAAATAATTATTCGCTTCTTCTATTTGCGACTCACTAATTGTCTTTTGTGAAATATTTTTAATATGGCGGGTGGTAGGCTATTTTGAACATGTACTTCCCCAACCTGTCCGAGACATTTGAATGGTGCAGCGGTTCAGAATACACCTTTGAAAAAACTCAATATAAAAAATTATGAAATTGAATTAATTCTGGTGTAAGAGCACCTTCTGGTATTTAGCAGTTATATCGACCAATTGAGCTTTTCTCATCTGCTTCCTATGTTTCAACAATTTAAGCAGTTAGCATCACTTTTGAACCCTAGAAGGACGAAACAACTGTATTTTTTGGGCTATTTTTCCGTTATTGGACTCTCCTACATCTCATCTAAAGTTGTAACGAAATGTGCTTTCCACTTGTGTGTCTTTTGTCAATGATATATAACAACTATTTGAATAAATGATTGGACTGGTCATCACTCAGTTCCAGTATCCGATACTTGCATACCTTAATGAAGTGGAGTGACATTGACTATAGTGTCTAGAGACGAGTATTAAGCTCTTGGCGTCATAATAAAATCAGTCATTCCCAAGTTATTTCTTAATTCTGAAATATTAAAAGGATAATAAAACCAGGTGGGCCGAGATTAAGGTTAAGCGTTTTCTCTATCTTGATCAAGATCCCCTGAAGTCTTGACACTGATATATTTTTGATCATCAGGTAAGGTACATGTTTTGTGCGTCGCACCATGTGACAAAATTAATGATATTTTTTTATACATTCTGACATTATGAAAATTCTTCAGGGGGTAAAACGAGACGAGGTATCTGCTGAAGTTTGACGTTAACAGAATGAAATTAAAATTACTTTAAATGCATTTTTTTCTGGAAAAAACTAAACAAATTTTCCAATATGTAAATGTATCAATAGATTTAAAAGCATTTTGGTATTGTATAAAAGCCGTTTCAAGATATTTTTTATCAGTATCGCTCACGAATTCAATGTGGATGCCGCTGGATGAGATTTGTTCACAACATACATTTATTTACAACATTACTGATTGTATAAATAAATAAATAAGATTTGTATTTGTTCAAAAGAATGAATATTGTTCAGTTTTTTCTTCAATTAAGGATGATATAAACAAGACAGATTGTGATACCTGTAACCTTTATTAAATTTAGCAGTACACACTAAAGACATAATGGTTGTTAGATTTTTACACAATACTCGCATAAATTATTATCTCTGCCATATACACTGTCGTTCGTTCTATGTAGAATTATACAAATGTTGTACACTTAGAAAGGTCAATCTGATAACTATATATACACAAACAAATAAAAAAAATCATGATTACCTTCATGGCACATTGTTGGGCAAGTACTTATTGAACTCTACATGCACATTTACAAAAAAATAAAAAACGCTGATATGTACATCTAAAGTCAATTTACATTTTTCAAAACACTGTCTACATTGTATATTTACTGAAAATTACATAGAATAACTTAATTATGATGAAAAACCCTTAAAGATGAGACAATGAATTTTATATTACGCAACGCAAAATAATGAATTTTTGTGATTTGACTCTATAATCTTCAGTGTCTTGATCGTTCCAGGTGAAAATAAACATCAAGTGCCTTAAAGGCATGAAGTCACCATTAGAACATTAGATTGGACTTGTTTCCAGAGTATTTGATTATATGTTGTAGAACATCAAGGAAGGCTATACAATCGAGGACAAAGCAGTAAAGATAAGTAACATAATCCTAATTATCATTTCATGCTGATCTTTTCAAGCCTTATGAACATACAAGCGAATTTAATATAAAATATTTTTGGTCTTTTAATCTTATTGGACACGTTTTGAAAACAAAAACAAACCCAAAAAAAAATCTATAATTGAATAAATGAAGATTTTTTCATTGATAAAGAAATCGTCAAATATCTACTGAAAAATATTAAACTAATTCTCGCTTAATATGTACAGCTGTGACACTACCTGTAGTCTGGAAAGTCAGTAAGTTGGAGGTGATCTAGGAGTTTCGACCCTAATTTCATACCATATTGGATTGAAGACCAATGCATGATCGAAGAGCTTTGGTCGACCTTCCCGATTGGCTGTGCATTTAAATGGAGATTATAAAATAAGTATCAGTGTTCACTCTGGTATCAATTTATACAATGCCTTAAACGGTTCCCCCGCTCATGTTTGTTTCATTTGTTCTATAGATTGGCAAAGCCAATATCTTCGCAGCTTTCCTTGATTTTCCCGTTATTTAATTTGTCGATTATCTTGGAGTGTTTGAATTCTTTGACAAAGCATAAAGCAGTTTATCGAAAATACACAGCGGGATTAATTTGGCATAAAGAAATCGCGTCTCTGAATATTATAAATAATAGATAAATCATATGGAACATAATATTATTTACATAAATATTATTTTCTTTTTAAATAGATAATACGTAAACAATACTGTTTGAATATAAAATTGAAATATAAATTACTTCAATACTTTCTGGTATCTATATCACAGAAACTTCGTTAGAAAAATAACCCTTAATCGGCAATCCTATTATAGAGTATATTAATCACACTTTTTCCTGGGAAAAATAGCACTTTTTTACTAGAAGAGTTATAGAAAGAAGATTCCTGCTTTGATTTCTTCATGGCTCAATTTTCTTGCACAGGAAATTCGTAATTCTACACTCCAATAGACAGCGACGTACTACAGAGCATAACATTCAGGTACTGAAGTTCCCTGAGTTTTTCCTTTTTTCAGTTTTTACGGAATTATGTAAAAAGATAAAATCAATATTCTATTTTAACATAAATCAACAAATAAATAAATTCAGTAAGTTCAAACCTTTCACACACTTACTAGGGTCCGTATCGCTAGCAAACGTCTCTGAATCAAAACCATCCATGTGACATTGGAAAGAGCACATATATATCGTTAACATTCATATATTCGAGTTAGGCTTTCGATACTTTCTAAAATGCTTTTGCTAAATCTTCAGAACTTGATTTCAATATTTGTAACTATCACTTCTTCAGATATCCGCTGATCTTTACCCGAATTCCGCATTGTTTAATTTTTGAATTTATCTCCTAGTAAGATTTTTGTGTCCGCAGCCGCGTCCTTTTCTGGCCGATTATCGTCTATAACTATCGGCTGAGAGGTGTCTTTAGATTTTTCCGGGTTTTCCATGCCCTCGGCTGCCTGTCGTTCTTGTTGTCGCTTCCTCTTTGCTTTCCTGCGCCGATCCTTCCGTCGTTTTGCCTCCTTCGTGTAAAGAGCCGTGGTCACAGGAGGAAGCACTTTCGGCCGTCTTTGCCGGAATCCGGTGTCTCTGTAAAACCTGAAAGGGTGTAACATTAATGTATAATACTACTGACAAGAATGTTAAATTATTCTGTCTTAAAGAATTTGATCCAATTTTTTCTCTCATATGAATTAGGACGAAACCACACAATCCGGTGTATTGTAGCTTTAGCAACTAAAGAGGAATGCTTCCCACTGATAGCTAAAATCACTATGGAATGCCTATCACTTACATGTTATCCACTTCGCTGCCAGGTGCGGCAAAGTAGTACGCATTCGGATCAAACCCGTCCCTGTTTGAATCAAGAGATGGATGAGAGAGAAAGATTAGTATTACATTCATCGAGCTTTTCAAACATATATGGAGACTTATGCGCATCACAGTTTTTCAGTATGAACAAGGTTGATATATGTCTATTCTGGTCTTAGTTTTGGTAACAAAAGCGTGACTTTAGAATGTCTATACGTTCTTATCCGCTAAGACCGAGGTATTTATGACCTGGATATTTGGTAATTCTGAGCTGGTGTGACTGAGATGTTTGTTTGTACTGAGCTGGTGTGACTGAGGTGTTTGTTCTGAGCTGGTGTGACTGAGGTGTTTGTTCTGAGCTGGTGTGACTGAGGTGTTTGTTCTGGGCTGGTGTGACTGAGGTGTTTGTTCTGTGCTGGTGTGACTGATGTATATATGACCTGTATATTTGGTAATTCTAAGCTGGTGTGACTGAGGTATTTGTTTGTTCCGAGCTGGTGTGACTGAGGTGTTTGTTCTGAGCTGATGTGATTTGGATGTTTGTTCTGAGCTGGTATAACAAGGGTATTTGTTCTGAGCTGTTGTGATCGAGGTGTTTGTTTGTTCTGAGCTGGTGTGATTGATGTATATATGACCTGGATATTTGGTAATTCTAAGCTGGTGTGACTGAGGTATTTGTTTGTTCGGAGCTGGTGTGACTGAGGTGTTTGTTCTGAGCTGTTGTGATTTGGATGTTTGTTCTGAGCTGGTATTACTAGGGTATTTGTTCTGAGCTGTTGTGACCGAGGTGTTTGTTTGTTCTGAGCTGTTGTGACCGAGGTGTTTGTTCTGAGCTGGTGTGACTGAGGGTGTTTGCTCTGAGCTGGTGTGACTGAGGTGTTTGTTCTGTGAGCTGGTGTGACTGATGTATATATGACCTGTATATTTGGTTCTGAGCTGGTGTGACTGAGGTGTTTGTTCTGAACTGGTGTGACTGAGGTGTTTGTTTGTACTGAGCTGGTGTGACTTAGGTGTGTGTTCTGAGCTGGTATGACTGAGGTGTTTGTTATGAGCTGGTGTGACCGAGGTGTTTGTTCTCAGCTGGTGTGACAGGTGTTTGTTTGTTCTGAGCTGGTGTGATTGAGGTGTTTGTTATGAGCTGGTGTGAACGAGGTTTTTGTTCTGAGCTGATGTGACTGAGGTGTTTGTTATGAGCTGGTGTGACTGAGGTGTTTGTTCTGAGCTGGTGTGACCGAGGTGTTTGTTTGTTCTGAGTTGATGTGACTTAGGTGTTTGTTCTGAGCTGGTGTGACCGAGGTGTTTGTTTGTTCTGAGCTGGTGTGACTGAGGTGATTGTTCTGAGCTGGTGTGACCGAGGTGTTTGTTCTGAGCTGGTGTGACTGAGGTGTTTATTTGTTCTGAGCTTGTGATGTGTTTGTTGTGACTTGGTGTTTGGGGTGTGACTTGTTTTGTTCTGAGTGGTGTGACTTAGGTGTGTGTTCTGAGCTGGTGTGACTGAGGTGTTTGTTCTGGGCTGGTGTGACTGAGGTGTTTGTTCTGGGCTGGTGTGACCGAGGTGTTTGTTTGTTCTGAGCTGGTGTGACTGAGGTGTTTGTTACGAGCTGGTTGGCCTGAGGTTTTTGTTCTGAGCGGATGTGACTGAGGTGTTTGTTTGTTCTGAGCTGGTGTGACTGAGGTGTTTGTTATGAGCTGGTGTGAACGAGGTTTTTGTTCTGAACTGGTGTGACTGAGGTGTTTGTTCTGAGCTGGTGTGACTGAGGTGTTTGTTCTGAGCTGGTGTGACTGAGGTTTTTGTTCTGAGCGGGTGTGACTGAGGTGTTTGTTCTGAGCTGGTGTGACTGAGGTGTTTGTTCTGGGCTGGTGTTACCGAGGTGTTTGTTTGTTCTGAGCTGGTGTGACCGGTGTTGAGCTTTGTGACATGTTTGTTCTGAGCTTGTGTGACTGAGATGTTTGTTCTGAGCTGGTGTGACAGGTGGTTGTTCTGAGCTGGTGTGCCTGAGGTGTTTGTTTGTTCCGAGCTGGTGTGACTGAGGTGTTTGTTCAGGGCTGGTGTGACTGAGGTGTTTGTTCTGAGCTGGTGTGACTGAGGTGTTTGTTTGTTCTGAGCTGGTGTGACTAAGGTGTTTGTTATGAGCTGGTGTGACTAAGGTGTTTTTGTTCTGAGCTTGTGTGACTGAGATGTTTGTTCTGAGCTGGTGTGACAGGTGGTTGTTCTGAGCTGGTGTGCCTGAGGTGTTTGTTTGTTCTGAGCTGGTGTGACCGAGGTGTTTGTTTGTTCTGAGCTGTTGTGACCGAGGCGTTTGTTCTGAGATGGTATTACTAGGGTATTTGTTCTGAGCTGGTGTGACTGAGGTGTTTGTTCTGAGCTGGTGTGACTGAGGTGTTTGTTCTGAGCTGGTGTGACTGAGGTGTTTTTGTTCTGAGCTTGTGTGACTGAGATGTTTGTTCAGGGTGTGACTGAGGTGTTTGTTCAGGGCTGGTGTGACTGTGGTATTTGTTTGTTCCGAGCTGGTGTGACTGAGGTGTTTGTTTGTTCTGAGCTGGTGTGACCGAGGTGTTTGATTGTTCTGAGCTGATGTGACTGAGGTGTTTATCATGAGCTGGTGTGACTGAGGTGTTTGTTCTGAGCTGGTGTGACTGAGGTGTTTGTTTGTTCTGAGCTGAGGTGTTTGTTATGAGCTGGTTGGCCTGAGGTGATTGTTCTGAGCTGGTGTGACTGAGGTGTTTGTTTGTTATGAGCTGGTGTGACTGAGATGTTTGTTCTGAGCTGGTGTGACTGAGGTGTTTATCATGAGCTGGTGTGACTGAGGTGTTTGTTCTGAGCTGGTGTGACTGAGGTGTTTGTTTGTTCTGAGTTGGCGTGACTGAGGTGTTTGTTATGAGCTGGTGTGACTGAGGTGTTTGTTCTCAGCTGTTGTGACCGAGGTGTTCGATTGTTCTGAGTTGGTGTAACTGAGGTGTTTGTTCTGAGCTGGTGTGATCGAAGTGTTTGTTTGTTCTGAGCTGGTGTGACCGAGGTGTTTGTTTGTTCTGAGTTGGTGTAACTGAGGTGTTTGTTCTGAGCTGGTGTGACCGAGAGTGTTTGTTCTCAGCTGGTGTGACTGATGTTTGTTTTCAGTTGGTATGATTGAGGTGTTTGTTTGTTCTGAGCTGTTGTGACTGAGGCGTTTGTTTGTTCTGAGCTGGTGTGACTGAGGTGTTTGTTATGAGCTGGTGTGACTTGGATGTTTGTTCTCAGCTGGTGTGACTGAGGTGTTTGTTTGTTCTGAGCTGGGTTTGTTCTTAGCTGGTATGACTGTTTGTTCTGAGCTGGTGTGACTGAGGTGTTTGTTCTGAGCGGGTGTGACTGAGGTGTTTGTTCTGAGTTGGTGTGACTGTGGTGTTTGTTACGAGCTGGTGTGACTGAGGTGTTTGTTCTGAGCTGGTGTGACCGAGCTGTTTGTTCTGAACTGGTGTGACTGAGGTATTTGTTTGTTCTGAGTGACTGAGTGTGACTGGTGGTGTTTGTTTGTTCTGAGGTGGATTGTTATGAGCTGGTGTGACTGAGATGTTTGTTCTTAGCTCGTGTGACCGAGGTGTTTGTTTGTTCGGAGTTGGTATGAATGAGGTGACTGTTCTGAGCTGGTGTGACTGAGAGTTTGTTCTGAGCTGGTGTGACTGATGTTTGTTTTCAGTTGGTATGACTGAGGTGTTTGTTTGTTCTGAGCTGGTGTGACTGAGGTGTTTGTTATGAGCTGGTGTGACTGAGGTGTTTGTTCTGAGCTGGTGTGACTGAGGTGTTTGTTCTCAACTGGTGTGACCGAGGTGTTTGTTCTCTGGCTGGTGAGACTGAGGTGTTTGTTATGAGCTGGTTGGCCTGAGGTGATTGTTATGAGCTGGTGTGACTGAGATGTTTGTTCTTAGCTCGTGTGACTGAGGTGTTTGTTTGTTATGAGTTGATGTGACTGGGGTGTTTGTTTGTTCTGAGTTGATGACGGAGGTGTTTGTTCTTAGCTGGTGTGACTGAGAGGTTTGTTCTGAGCTGGTGTGACTGAGGTGTTTGTTCTGAGCTGGTGTGACTGAGGTGTTTGTTCTGAGCTGGTGTGACCGAGGTGTTTGTTTGTTCTGAGCTGGTGTGACTGAGGTGTTTGTTCTGAGCTGGTGTGACCGAGGTGTTTCTTTGTTCTGAGTTGATGTGACTGGGGTGTTTGTTTGTTCTGAGTTGGTGACAGAGGTGTTTGTTCTTAGCTGGTGTGACTGAGGTGTTTGTTCTGAGCTGGTGTGACTGAGGTGTTTGTTCTGAGCTGGTGTGACTGGGTGTGTTTGTTCTGACTGAGAGCTGTGTGACTGTTTGTTCTGAGCTGGTGTGACTGAGGTGTTTGTTGTGAGCGGGTGTGACTGAGGTTTTTGTTCTGAGCGGGTGTGACTGAGGTGTTTGTTCTGAGCTGGTGTGACTGAGGTGTTTGTTATGAGCTGGTGTGACTGAGGTGTTTGTTCTGAGCTGGTGTGATCGAAGTGTTTGTTTGTTCTGAGCTGGTGTGACCAAGGTGTTTGTTATGAGCTGGTGTGACTGAGGTGTTTGTTCTCAGCTGGTGTGACCAAGGTGTTTGTTATGAGCTGGTGTGACTGAGGTGTTTGTTCGGAGCTGGTGTGACCGAGGTGTTTGTTTGTTGATGAGGTGATTGTGACTGGGTGTGTTTGACTGGTGTGAGAGGTGTTTGTTCTGGGCTGGTGTGACCGAGAGGTTTGTTCTGAGCTGGTGTGACTGAGGTGTTTGTTCTGAGCTGGTGTGATCGAAGTGTTTGTTTGTTCTGAGCTGGTGTGACCGAGGTGTTTGTTCTGAGCTGGTGTGACTGAGGTGTTTGTTCTGAGCTGGTGTGACTGAGGTGTTTGTTCTGAGCTGGTGTGACTGAGGTGTTTGTTCTGAGCTGGTGTGACCGAGGTGTTTGATTGTTCTGAGCTGGTGTGACTGAGGTGTTTGTTATGAGCTGGTGTGACTGAGGTGTTTGTTCTGAGCTGGTGTGACCGAGGTGTTTGTTTGTTCTGAGTTGATGTGACTGGGGTGTTTGTTTGTTCTGAGTTGGTGACGGAGGTGTTTGTTCTTAGCTGGTATGACTGAGAGGTTTGTTCTGAGCTGGTGTGACTGAGGTGTTTGTTCTGAGCGGGTGTGACTGAGGTGTTTGTTCTCAGCTGGTGTGACTGAGGTGTTTGTTCTGAGCTGGTGTGACTGAGGTGTTTGTTCTGAGCGGGTGTGACTGAGGTGTTTGTTCTGAGTTGGTGTGACTGAGCTGGCTGGTGTGACTGAGGTGTTTGTTCTGAGCTGGTGTGACTGAGGTGTTTGTTCTCAGCTGATGTGACTGAGGTGTTTGTTCTCAGCTGGTGTGACTGAGGTGTTTGTTATTAGCTGGTGTGACTGAGTCTGAAGAAATTCTCTATATATTCTTAAAATGGAGGAACACTAGCCTTAGAACACTATTATCATAGTCATGATTACACCCAAAAGTCGATCGAACCAAGGAACATCCTAAGCAGAAGTTGATACAGGGACATTTGAATAAGTACATGTATAATAAGACCAGATGTTACGGAAAGGTTTGCATTTGCTAGATTATAAAATTGATGTAATTTTTTCCAAATTCGCAACACCTATACAAGAATGCATACAAGAAAAACTAACCTGTGGCTGTAATCTCGTTCAATAAATGAACCGGCATGAATCTCCCTACAAACAAATACAGCAATTAAGATTTATCTTAGAAACTGAAAATGAAAAGGATATATGTGTCTAAGGTCTGTTCACATTCTGCAGTACACAAACACTATCTACATATTGTGGCATACCTTGGATAGTGACGCTGTTCATCATACTGATGTCGAGCTGGTCCAAAAATTAAGGCTGGGTCCTTGCTTCTGGGGTAGAGCGTCGAATGTTTGTCTTCGGTGTCAGGTACCACGGAACTTGGTTTATGTTTAGGCTTTTTCTTCTTTTCTGGACTCCTGGCCTTTTCTTTTTTCTGTTTGTCTGTATTTGAAAATATGCTTCCGATAAAGATAGTATTCCGAGGTAGACGAAGAATGGTCATAGCAGACAAAATATGAAGAGATAAGACATATGTATTGTTATTGGGTGATATCTTCTTAAAAAATATAGAAGTATTTGGTATTTGTGGCTTTTGTAAATCCCATCAAGGAAAATATGAACAGTCTATACGACTATACTAACAATCTGATAAAGGGAACTCAACATACTACAAATCGCGAGTCATTTAAGCTGTGACGTCTAAATTGTAGCCAAAGAAATGCACAAATACCAGATGAATAATTCATAGTTTAGTCTATGTCGAATAAGAATCTGCAGTGATAAATGTTATTAATGACCTCGTCTTGTTAGGAAACTTAGCATTGTGCTTGAATTATTGACTCATCAAAATCGAGGGAAATGTTAAGGAAGGAACAGAGATCTGAAATCTGAGTGCTAGGAACACAAACCAGACAAGATTTATGGAACCTGAGACCGCAGCACATATCCAATGATCTACCGACGGAGGCAGTTTAACGCTTTATTAACAAACTTTATAGTTTGTATAATCAGTTCCATTTACCTTTGTAAGCTTTACAGCCAACACAGCAGATGATGAGAATGAGGAGAAAGAAAATAACACCAAGAACAATGGCGGCGATGACGGCACTTGAAAGGCCTTCATCCGCGGTAGAGGCGCCCGTAGCAGGTGCTGAAATATCCATATAGTTCAACTTAGGTCTTACGATAACATTCAAGTGTAAAACATTTATCAATCATATATTCATTAGGCTATATATATATCAACATTCTGTAGTATTTAGTTCTAAACGTCACTGGATTGTCAAATTATCGAAAGAGTTATTATTTCAAACACTATTTTAAGATGTTTTCAAAGCAACTAAAGCCATTAAAAGTTAATACTGTTTTATTGAAACTCATCACAGTGTTAGTCACATAATGACAATGAAATGGAGGATGACAATGACTTACAAGATTGCGATTTATGATAAAAATGTTTCTATTACGTTACAGTCTGTATCTCACACAAGCGAATAGTTTGTCTTAACACTATATCACGGTCATTTAAATAAAACATGGATGCAAAAATGAGACATTCTATACTATTTATTGTGTAAATACATGTATTTGTTAAATTATAGTTCATGTATCAAGAAAAAAATAACACTTTGAAAAAAAAACACGTTTATATGAAATATCACTTGGAACAATAAAACTGTTAGTTAGAACACTCCCTCACAATAGAGTGAATCTTCAGAAATGACAGTTCATTTACACATTATGTTTTAATTTTTCTTTGTAAATTTAACTTTCAAGCGTAGTTTGTTAAAATAGTACATGATCTGGGCAAACATGTAATGATTTGCATTACTACAAATATAATTTACTAGATTTATACATAAATACTTACCAAGTTAATTGCAAAAGACACTTCAAATGATAAATCATTAGATTTGTGTTCAGTATTATTCACAAGGGTATTTACATCACAATATTATTTTTAAAAATTATCAATCAACAGATATTTCACAAGATAGTATACATACTGATCAATAAGTCATTAAGAAAATATTGTATTTAGTAAGACATTACAAAATTCATTTGATGTGATCCAATCAACTATGTGGCAAATATAAAGTTTTATCAACAACACTTTAAAACAAATTGAAATAATACCTAACGTTCTGAAACTGTGTTTTTCAAGTCCTGTAACTATTTATTATTAGGTTTGATCTTCAAAATAAAATTGTTAAATGGTATGAGGGTCTTACTCGAGCGGGAAAATTTACTTAAATTAGTGAATGTGATTTTGTAAAGCTCAGAACATTTGTTTATAATGAATATAATAGCATGTGTATCACGTATTACCAGAATTGCCTGTTTCCTAATTAGTACAAACCTTAAGGTGCTATCACACAATTTTCAATATATTAATATGGGAGTAGAAAAAAACTTCTATTCAAGCTTACCACTGTCACCTAGAGCTTCAATGGTATAGATGAATCCCTCCGAGGACCCGAGAGCATTCGTTGCCACGCAAGTGTAAATGTTCGTTCCAGATTCTACTGACACTTCAAGAGTCTCCGATGTTCCAACTGCTTCATTCTCGTGCATCCATGTGTAACCAGTTGGAGCAGGATTTGCAAGGACTTTGCACACGAGTTGTACGAGTTCATCTACATTTTCAGTGTATTCAGTCTGAACATTGTTGGTATCCAACTCTGGTGGATCTATATAATGAAAAAACATACTTTAAGAAAGGCTTCGATGCCATCAAGATAGAAACAATAATCCAGCAGATTGGATTGTGCGACAATCAAATGAGCGGCCAATTGTCAATGAGTTTTAGCTTAACTTGAAACTCCATTTGTCCAGAAACAGCAGACAGCAAAAATTATGTCTTTTCAGTTATCAGAAAATTGTTTGACTATGCATGTATTCTGAACTGATGTTTCACATTAATGATATTTGCCTAATATCAGGTTATTCCTAATAGGGATCGTAGGTTTATCAAAGTAATATACAATATGTGTATTCAGCTTGAAATCAGTCAGATAATCTAATGGATGTCTTATGAAATAGATCTGCATGAAGGCAGTCATGTTCCGCCATCAACATGTCAAATGAACATGATCTCCGGATCATAAATGTTAAGAGAGAATGGCGATAAAACTCTTATAGGAAACATTGGGATAGTGAAGTTAAATGTTTGTAAGGAAAGTAAATCCATTTACATTGTACATCAACTGAAAACGAGGCGCTGCTGTTGCCCAAATGGTTGACGGCTTTGCACGTGTATAGCCCAGAGTTTTGCCTGGTTGCTCTTGGAATGTTAAGTTCATCATTGCTAACATAGGAGGAGTCAACTTCTGTCATCACACTGGGACTGTCAATCCTGGAGAAGTACCACATGAATGAGGCATTGTTGGCAGGATGGACATCCGTCAGACAACGTGCACTGATATCACCACTGGTCTCAGTAACAGCAACGGCGCTTAACCCGTTCTCAAAAGAAGTTGAGGTTGGTTTAGCTTAAAATAGACAAAGACAGCTATTTAACTTTTAACACAACGCACTGCAATTAGATAATTAAAAGATATAAAGACATTCAATAAGTTTAAGGTTGTTCATGAATAGTAACGGTATCCTCGATATTGGGTCATAAACACATACAGATCTTTATAAAAATAGACATTTGTATCAGCTTTGATCCATTTTCATATAGAACTGAAAATATAAGAATGATAACACTGAAACATTTATTTATATTTTAAGACATTTGATGAACTTACTATAAACTGTTAGCCATACTTCAGCTCTTTGGGAAACCCCAGCAGCAGATTGTACGATGCAAAAGTAGACGCCGTTATCATCGACGTCAATGTTGTAGATAATTAACTTATGCATCGGATGAATATTCGATACCGAGAACTGTTCATTTACTCCTTGAAGTAATGTTGCTTGTGTATTGCTGATACTTTTGTACCAAGTAACATTGTAAGGGGTGAGTGAGGACACAACACTACAGGTGAAGGTTTTAGTTTCACCGAGGATGGAGGTTGTGTTGGACAAAGCAGTTGCTGAAGGTGGTCCTGATGAAACAAATTAGATATAGTAGTGTTAAGTGGTATATATATTGTAAAATCATTTACAACACAAAAAATATGCATATACAAAAAATGATGACTGGTTTGAAATTTGATCATTTTATGAATTGCTGAAGTTGATAATTATAAAAATAAATTGGCAGAAAATCTGCTGAGAGAGAATCCAACTCTTAGCAGGAAGATATCATTATTGATAACAGATCAATTAAAAATTCAGTTCTGTCATCTGAAATCCGCATTGATTTTCATAAACTGAATACATTGTTAATGTCATAATGCATAAATGTTAAGTTAGATGTTAATATCTAGTCATTCAATAACATACATGCAACGTAAAAGAGAAGCGTTAGTCTGTATTCTCATCCAGTCTCGAATACTAATACCAGTATCATGCCATACAACAACAGACATGTTTGAAAAGTGATTTTGCTAATGCTGCAGCTTTTGAACATCTTCTGGTATAATGGATATATTGGTTGAAACACTCATGAGAAGATGAGATAAAATTTTCTGTCACAATAACGATTCGACCTTAACTATTGAAATAATCTTACACGTGTCTCGAATGATTGCACAAAAGACACATAATGGAAAACACATTCAAAGACAATTATAACCATATACAGTATGGCTATCTAATGAATAGAACTGCATCATATAACTATGTCAGCCATCTTGGAATCGTCTGTTATTAGGAAAACTTGATATGTTCATCATACATCAGCAAGTGAACAGTTTTAACAGAGATGGGGATGGAAGAAATTTGTTTCGTGTCTGCGTCTGTGTCAGGAAATTGCAAATAACCTAGCAGGGTGTTTGTCGAAATCTTCTGAAGTGCATAGTATACTTGAAATATTACATGATTGTGCGTTTCTGTCTTGTTGGTTAATAGAAACTTGCAGGTTGCCTGACAAGTTAAGGACATGTAAATATTGAATTCATTTCAAATTATCAGCCTGTGTTATTGGTACATATATACTGATGGTCAGCGATGATCAACTACTTCCGGAACCTCACTTTGAAATACTTAATTCCTAATAACAATGCATTTGAAATCTTTCAAAATAACATACAAGCCAAACTTGCAACAACATCTTTCATTGATATTAGAGAATATTAACACAGCAAATGTGATGTCTGAAAATTCTTAATTCGTTGAAATCTAAAACCATGTAACTTAACATTTCATATCGTTATGTAAAATGCTATAAATTTGTAACTAGTCGATAAAGATTACCATGAACGGTGATTGGCAGTGACCCATCAGCAACGTGCTGTAATCCAAGTTGTGTTGAGGCACATTCGATAGCTTTTCCAGTATCATCCTGGTCAGGAACGAAGTATACTGTGGACTCGACACTTACTAATCCATTTGCGGGCTGCTGGATAACCGTATACGTGCTTACAGGTAAGTTCTCGGACGCACCGGACATAGAAAGCATCGACCAATGTAACCTAGGCTCAGGATGACTGGGTCTTGTTTTACACGTAAAAGATGTGTTCTTACCAGATATGACATCCGAATTTCCTGTTAGCGATTCCAATTCCGCTTCAACTATAAAAAAATGTATTGTAAATTGATAACATAAATATAAAATCAATATCAACCAACATATAATTGGTGATTCTAAATTCAGCATCCTCATCAATACTCCCCAGTTTTCACTTTTGAGCATCCATTCTTATTTTACCAACATACTAGGCACTATCTTTCATTGTGGCTACATATACAGTTTTTCCTTTACTTTTTTGTTATTTTTCTTCTGCAATTACTCATTAAAACATTTTATATTGATATATTTTTTAAACTTCCTGTTTAAACAAGATTGAAGATATCATTCAGAATAAAAAAAGAAGCACAAAAGAAATTGTTAATAACTCCAATTATTTAGAAATATCTCTGTCCTAGCTAATGACATATTAAAAATGTTTAAAAAATATTTAAGGAAGATAGGAGAATATGAGCAACTACTTCCAAAATTCAAACCAGTCAATGATATATCTTTATTATATTGCACGCGTGTATACGATCAATTCATTGGACCATGAAATGTTTTATGGAAGTTTTGTTCGTTACGGAGAAACGTAAATATATATTTATTCAGTTGCATCTTCATTTTCAGTGATACATTTTCAATTATAATTAAGTTATATATCAATATGTATGCAAGAGATTATCAAATAGATGCAAAACATAAGAAAACCAATTCCTACAAAATACGAAACTAAAGTGATCAACTGTCAAAAGAACAATAAGTGGCGTACATTTGTATGCTGAGTGGGCGTGAACTAACCTGGTCCTCATTATGATATTTTACAATTGACCAGTGAACAGAAGAAGTGTATCAAGGTACTGTTATTGATATATACAGCACAATGAAGAGCTTCAGTGGCAATACTTAACTTCAGATTAAAAAATTAGAAAGAGGCTGTGTGCATATTTCCTGGCAATAAAATAGTGTTTGAACAAAACATTGCTAAAACGAATAGATATTACCAGGCTTGCGTTGCTTATTTATCTGTACAAGCAACAAGTGATTAATGATAATAAACATCAACCTGTTAATTGTAGTTAAGTAAACAGACAACAATATAATTAGAAGTAAACATAAGAATCAGCATTAAACCTCTCTGACAACCATTAAAACATAATACATGCACAGAAAAAAATATTTAAAGAAACAACAATAAAATCATAAACATAATCTGAAACAAAACAAAACAAAAATAAAAATGCAAAAACCACAAAAGGTATACAGTACAACTAAATCGGTATTTTAGCACAAATAAGACCATGATTGAAAAATCCATCAATAATTTAGCACATTTGATTTCGATTTTTATCAATGCTAATAATGCAGTTAAAAACGTCATACTCCTCATAATACCTCATAATGTTACATTAAAACAATATGCCTGTTTGTAATGTATAAAACGTAAATATTTTCAAATTTGATCTAAAAACACCGAATTCCTTGTATTCATAAACCCTGAGTATTTACGCGTACCTTTCCTTCTATGTAATCTGACTTTCTTGTGGAAACGTTGATGTAATGAATTTTTGAACGTTTCGAACTTTTTCACTTTCCTTATGAGATGTATATAACCTTATTCTCAGTTATCATTGCTTTTTTGGATTGACCGAGATTTACATATTGGGTGTCGTCGATGAAGCAGAGGACGCTCACCCTTTTGGAGTAGAAGTATTGTTTTCCTTGTACTTTCTTCGGGCTTTTCTTGTAGATCTTTCTTTTGTTTATTTGCTGTCCTAGTTTTATTGAATTTGAATTGAAATGCGGCATATTGTTATTTTCCTTGTTTTTATTTTCCCATTTTTACTGTTTTTAAAAATATCATGCAGGAGTAGAAATACAAAACTGGATTATTTTTATTACAATGCAATTTAATATAACCTTTCAAAATGAAATATACACTGCGAGATCTTCAGAGATAGCCTAGAAAATGCAATTACAATGCTGTGAATGAGGGCAGCATCAGTTCCGTCATCCAGGAATATACGTGTTCTATCAAAATCCTGAATGATCACATGAAACATTTACTATGTTAATTTGACAGCTTTTTAAATTACTATTCAGTTTTCGAGTTATTTGTACATGAGCATATGTTTTTCAATATACAATATAGAACAATGGTCAATAGGTATTACAAAGTATATAGATTGTCACACTGTTGCAAGCTGTAAACATGACTTTTTCAAGGGAAAAGGCATTCTATAATATTCTGGCATGTTCTTCAAAATTTTACATTGATACATTTATTTTAATGGTATGCATAATTGGTTGGAGTTATCCAATTATATTCAGAACTTCTGATTTAAGACATAGATATAGATATAGACAAATGGGAAAATATTAAATTGTTCCAATACACATATGGATTATCTGTGTACACGAATCATGAAGAGGGGAAATAATAATTTTTTTATTTTTGAGCATCAAGAATCATGTTTCAATGATTTTCGTATATTCCACAATCTATGATCAATGTTTCCTTTGATATATCCTAACGAACAAAAACAAAACCACCATGAAAAAATCATTTTTGCAGCATCAGGTTAACATTGTTATGTATAGGTCGGTGCACTGCCCTACCATATACATCCTTTAGGCTAACTGCTATGCTCATTCCATTGATATCATTCTGAGCTGTGCATCTGAACTCAGCTCCTTTCTCCGTTAGCTGTACTGACAAATTATAGGTAGCGGTAGTGACGATTGGTTCTGTACTGCGGTCCTGGTCGGGGATACTTGGGATTGGCACACCATTTCTGTACCACATGAGGGTCGGAACAGGATATCCCCCGATGGTTTTACATACCAGCTGATGATTCCTGCCAACTGTACTTATGTTTGTGTTGGGAAATCCGTCGATAGTTGGAACTGAAGGTGCGGCTGATAACGAAGAATGTATATTTTGTCTTTGTATTTGAATCTGATTTAATTTTCATGCAAGTTAAGGATAGACAAATATTCTAGCAATAGGTCCGACCTGGCCTGTATTTTGAATTTTGAATCGTGATTTGGACTATATTTGTATAACTTCAATTTGTTCAAAGACGAACTTCATTTGTTTCAAATTTTCAATATCTTACTAGCAGCTGATAGCAAATCGCAATACTTATACGATTTCATAAAGAAGGACTCTTTGCTACTTACAGTTCACGGTAAGAGTGGCAGCTACATCAAAGGCTGTGCTTGTCTCAGGATGTCTAACCGCAGCCACAAGCACTTTTTTATTGTATTCCGCTCTTTGTACAAAAGTGATACTAGCAATTGCATTCAGATAGCCTGCAGCCGTTTCTACCGAAGTTACTGATGGCACGTTGCTAGGTAACGTATTTCCTCCTACTGACCAAGAGACTGCAGGTGCTGGGTTGACCCTTGTAAAGTTAATGGAGAATGTGACTACGTTCCCTTCTTCGCTAGTAGTCGGACCAGCCAGTGAATTGGCTATATTGACAGGTGGGACTAAAATTTGAAAAAAAATAATAATAAAACAAACATAAATCAGAATTCAGCTATATTGCCAAGAAAGTTTTCTGTCAGCACGATTGACAGCAAACTTCTGAAATGACTGGAAAATTTATATATCGTAATAAGTCAAACAGCATGGGGAAAAAATCAGATACACAGGATCGATTAAATTTTGATATGGAGACATTTCTTTCCAGTCTGTATTCATATTAATAATACCCAGTTTATAAAGTATGAAGAAGTCTAAAAAATACGCCTTGCTAAACAATATCTTTAGGCCTTGAAAAATCGACAATATGTTTGTTCTATTCATAACTTCTGATCCAAACATTGCTAAATGTATTCTGAATAAACAATATCTGTCTCTTATTTCTGATATTTACTTAAAAAATCCATATGCCAACATTAACATACATATGTATCACTTACTATAGACGTCTTCAAACGTTTTATGTCTGGTCTTATTTGCGACACTGTTCGTCACAAGACATGTAAAGTTGGCATCACGGTCGGCGAATGCCACAGTATAGAACCAAATGTTGGTTTTAACTGTCACACCATTGCTTATACTAGGAAAGTCTGTGGCATCTTTAGTCTCATTATTCTTTTTCCAGATGACATCAGGAGTTGGCTTTCCTCCTTCTGAAGTACACGTTAATGGTAGAGTAGAACCTTCCGTTGGTTTGAGTACAAAGTTAGTGATGGCCGGGAAACCGCCTCCAGCTGAAAATTTAAGGTGTGGTTAACTGTTATATGGTAAACAACAATACAAATCACTTCATACCGTGAATCAAACCAAGTCAATTGTGAGGTCCAGATAATTTGATAACCTTGGAACCCATTTATATCGTAATATAAGATCAAACACATTTCTAAATTCTGAACCATACCACTATTTGGATGAATTGTAAACTGGCATGCAGGTTACGCCAAACCTCGGGGACTTTAAGTTTAAAATATGGTACTGACTATGACAGCTCTCTCTCTCTCTCTATATATATATATACTATACATGGTTTTGATTATTACAGCTCCTTTTTACTGGAAAGATATTTAAATATATTTATCTACGGTACTGACTATGCCAGCAATGTTTCCTTATACTGGGGAAATATTTATATATACTTACATTTAGTACAGAGAGTGATGGAATTGTTCCTTTATACGCGGAAGATGTATATAGATGTACACTTGGATATGGTACTGACTATGACAACATTGCTCCTTTACACTCGGGAGATAATAATATATATTTACATTGCCAGTACGTAATATCTATTGGGTCCTAACAGCAAAACAGATATTTACATGTAATTCCTATGTCATATCTGACATCCTTTCTCTCCAAAATGGAATCAGCTATTTTGCTATTCCATTAATTGTCTGGTCGTTTCGTAATTGTTTATAATGTCCAATGAAGGGCTTTTATTATCTTACTCAGGTAGCGTAGACAAACGTGTATCAGTGAAACAGATGAATGATCCCCTAAAACTTACTTGGACAAAAAATTAAGAAGAGTTAATGAATCTAAAATTTAGAGGTCGAGAACACTGAATTTGGAACCCTGTGCATCATGACCAATGAAAGCAAAGTTATGCTACGGATCTAAAATTTGAAGGACGGGGGTTGCGGAACCTTAATTTGGTTTACCGCACATCCTCTAAGTAACATCATGTATACACCAAGCTTTCAAATACTAGCTTAACTGAAAGCAAGTCTACGCTGTGGACACAAATGGTTTAACAATGGGCAATAACTAGTTTAATGTAAGCAAAGCTCTGCTCCAGACAAAAAATTTCAACAACGGGAAACAACTCTGTAATTTAGAAGTCACGGGTTCTTGCTTTGATAAACAATACATTGGTTTTGTTTGAATAATGTTTATACAAAATTAAATAATCCTAGTTTAAATGCACGAAATTTTAACAAAGAGTAACAAATCTGTAATTGAAGGAAATGGGCCCTGCATCTTGTACACTACACATTGCCTTCGTATGATCAACATATATCCCAAGTTTCATGATTATTTTAACTGCGAGCACTTTTAAAAAGAATGGGCAACGTGACCCTCATATGTTCCCTTGAATATTTTTGTTGAGTATAAAAACTACCAAAAGTAAACAAGATAAATAAAGTAAAAAAAGATTGTTTGCTTGTACGTGGCATTTAAAAGATCTGTATACACTAATAAACAAAAGGACATATACACTATATAGATATATGGTTTACACAATTACACTTTTCCTTATACATCAATATACGTGACACTTTATGGTAGAGTATTCGGGTTGTTTCTATCTTCATACTCACATATAACGCTGAGTAAAGCAGCATTGCTCATGGTTGATTGACCAGCAGCATTTGTAGCTGTGCAGCTGTACGGACCCTCATCAGAGGACTGGACACTAAAAATTGTCAAAACATCGCCACTCAACATGTACTTGGCACCGTTGGATAACTCTGTGGCTCCTTTGTACCACTTTACAGAGTATGTAAGTGATGACGTCGTGTTACACTGACCAGTGAAATCATTGTTTACAATGACGTCAACTGAATCTAGTGAAATCATAACACTCGGTGGACCTTTAAAACAAAACAAAATATTAAATTCTAATTTAAAATTTGGAAACTAGTTTTAACTATGTCATTATTGCTCAACCTGTAAATTGCATTCCGCATGAGCCTTACAGTGTTTTAGTTAAAACTTGAATCTGTAGTTATCTCCCTTACAACCTTGACTTTGATCAACATAATATTCGAATTGCAATTATCTTCTTTATAATTTTTATTTTTTATTACCTCCCTTACAATGTTAAATCTAGTTATCACTCTCACAATTTTGAAGTAACCTCCCTTTGTAGTCACCTCCTTTACGATGATAAATCTTTTTTTATCACCATCACAATGTTGAATTCGTAATTATCTCCCTCACAAACTCGAATTTGTAATTATTTCCCGCAAAATATTGAATTTGTGTTTATTGTATTTACAAACTGTAATTTACAATCACCTCCTGTATGATAATTATTTCGTATTGATGTCCCTCGCAATGTAGAATTTGTCTTTATCTGCCTCATCAACTTGAACTTGTAGTTAAACATGAATTAGTAGCTATATTCCTTCAAAACTTTAATATAAAACTTCAATTCTAATCTTAGATATGTAGATATTTCCCTTGCTTTCTTGAATTCATCCCTTTTGCAAGATTAAATTTGTAGCTATTATCTAACAAGCATATGTTATCGCTGATTTCCCCTATAAACTTGTACGTGGCCCTTTGAATCCCCTGTTAACCTACCATGGACAACCAACTGAGTATTTCTATTCTCAACTGTTGATGTCTGAGGATGAAACACGTTGAACGTCAACTGCTGACCATTATCAGCAAGTGTCGGGGTATAGTACAGAGTGGTCACAGTTCTGACGGTTCCGTCCGTGTTATTAGTAACAACTAACGTGTAGTTGCTAGGGTTTCGGTTCCCAATAATCCAGTCCACCACACACTGTGGTTGCGAACGTGCAACTGCTCCCAGCCATCTGTAAGGCTTCCCGGAGATCAAATTAGGATAAAGACTGAAAATTTGATAAAGCTGGTGTGTTAGCAAACATTTTTTAAGAAAGAAACGAAATTTTTTACATCAACATTATGGTATATGATGTGGAATTATTCACAGAATACTCTTCCTGGTATTATTTCATTTCATGAGAACAAACAGCAGCACGTGATCCTGGTGATAAGAAAGCAACAATATTTTATAACTGATCGGCAGATTCTTTTCAATATTTCGTAGTTTGTATAAGTTCATTACTGCATTTTAAGTTCAAGTGGTATTCTTTGCGAAAAAGGCAACATATATTTGACACTCAATATTGCGTAGGAACCCAGTGTTTCACTAACTTTTAAATGCAATACGCTAAACACCGAAGATGACTTTGTGTTGAAAAATTTGATCGGTTTTTCAAAGGCAACACAGCAGCAACGTAATGTACATATACAATAAGCGAAAAACTAAAGAAAAAACATATTTTCTGTTGATAAAACTATAATTTTGATATACATATGTAAAGTTTTGCCTTTATCACTTATTCATTGTCATAATTAAACTAGAATTAACATCCATGCACATTTATGACGATTTGTAGCTTAGTTAGTAATGTATGAAAAAAATTAAACTTACAACTGCGGTTCAGATGCAGTTAGTGGTTCACTCGGTAGTACCAGTTCAATGCCTGAAGGTGGAGCTGGAAAAAAATAGGATCAATGCCTAAAGTAGATGTAAATGGTAAATAACAAATTAAATATATTTAGCACACGTAATTTCTGCATCAGATCATAGTACAGCAAATTAACAATTTAAATTTGCTACTTTCACATTTTTTTTAATTAAAGTTAATTTAGCAGTATCGAGTATGGAACATATAAACACATAACAATATAACATTCTACTTTAACATGAGCATAATTAACATTTTATCGAATATGGATCAGTAGGAATGTGTTATAATATTATTAAGGTGGCCAAAATATAAAGTTAATCAATAAATATCAATCTTAGAACTGGCAAAATATATTTTGAAATCATGACTGATGGCGTAAACATTGTTAGCAAGCAAGCATAAATCGATACAGTAAAATATTACGTAATTGTTGCTAGTCAAATTATCATTTCAAATTTGGTTACATCTAGATTACATCATCAGAATTGGACAAAGTTCCTGGAAAAATAGATAAGAAATTTCTTCTTTAACATGTCATTGATTACAAACTTTCAAGCGAAAAGCTAGTTCTTATTTTCTTGATTTTTATTTATGAAAATCCTCAACAGAACAAATAATTTACTTTGTAAGATCGACATTAATTACCAATATTCATCACCAGTCATTTTATTTACGCTAAGCAATATCTAAAATCAGACATTAACAAAGTTCTTCAATGTTTTTGAAATATTTGTCTACACAGATGTTAACCTATTTTCAGTTTTTAAGAGTAATAAACTTATATCGGTAATCACTAAATGAACAGATATACACATTAGTACATTAATGTTACTTTTAATGTAAGTTCTGATAAAGATAAACTAATATTAGGAAGCACGTCACCAGAACTAAATACCTATTTCAAACTTTTTAATAAAAACTAAAACCACCTTAGAATTTAGATAATTAGATAATATACATAAGTAATCCAACTATGTGATGGAAAAGCTCATATATAAATAGTAAATGTTGAACTAGTATATTTAAAGAAAATACCTGCCCAAATGTATATGGATCTTTTGAAATTTGGTTAAGACTAGCTCTGTAATTAATTTGCCAAAATCGATACAGAATAACCTCCTTGTCCTACCGTTTATCTGCCCCAACTGCACGGTTGCTGACGAGTTCCTGACAACATGTTCCGATTGACAAGTGTATTCTGCAAAGCTGTCCCCCTGAATAGAGGCTATAAAGCTGTATCGGTTTGTCGTGATGTTGTTTCCTTGTCCATCAGTCGTTTCGTTGGAAATGATGCTAGGGATAGGGATGCTATTTTTTAACCACCTGACCACGGGTCTTGGATTCCCATTTCTAACGGTACAAAGATAAGACTGTAGGGTGTTTTCTGTTATATTCATCTGATAACCTGTAATAACTGGATCATCTGTTCGAACTGGAAAACAAGCATAATATGATTCCCAGATAAATATATTCGGTTCTTGAATAAGGTAAAACACAACATGCACTTAACACAATGTTTCATCTCATACCTCATATTGGTAGCAGAATTGTTAAAACTGCTATAACTATTTAATTCTCGTTCATGTTTACATATGGCACACCACTATCCAAACGATTTTCAGACAAAACAATATAAGATCATATACAAACGATATATAGTAAGCGGAAGTGTTATATCCAACTGGCACAATCATTCAAACATATTTTATCCTCGCAGAGTAGTGAAGACAACTAAACTGTTTTCTTCATTTCACATAAATCACTGATACTGCTTCGATTCTTTTCAAAACAATGATGTAACGTTGTAACACAAAAAGGCCAAGGGAGATTTCAATATCATAAAAAATGATTGGCAGAATCATTAATGCCTCAGATCTTTGAAGTGATTATTCATTATTCGCTGATCTCCAAAATTCAATAATCACAAACAAACAAACAAAAGAGATAATAAAGTTTCTAAGACTTCCGCCATTTTGAATACGGTTCAAATGCTAGTTATTGCATTTTCAGCTAGGACCACGAGGGAACAACGAAAAGATCAATAGATAAAGGAGCTCCGAATGACTTTTCATTCGGAAAAAGATCCTGGGAATGAAATTATGTTGTCTCTTACATATAGAAGAAATATAGGTAAGAAATATATGTAATCTGGCGAATTGTGTAAATTTCATGGGTCCGACTTCGGACTAGGATGTAAGGATGTAAAACTAGACAAAATAGCAAAATAACAGGTTGTAGGCTTTCAACAGCATCCGCATCGATTCCCAGCTAGATCAATGACAACAGTGGATTATGAACAGAAATGTGTTTTGTGAAATGTGACAGTATCATATCAGGAGCATTTCTATTACGTTGAAAATATAGTTCAACATCTGAAAGATTTACACATGATGCAAGGCGGAACGACGGATGAAACACAATGGCTTTGCCAGAAATTACACGGACTTTAAAAGACTTTTATCAACACGCAATTTTGCTGGAACCAAGACGAAATGCTTTCTTTTTCTCGCTTTTTACTTGAGAAAATAACGCTGCTTTTTTAGTTTTTCGTCTTTCTTTAAAATATACTGTAAACATAATGTTAGTCTCAAAAATAAACCAAAATGTTAGTGTGACAAACGATGGTACAAAACGTGAACGATGGTTTCTTTTTGATTTATCATATTTATAGTATTCATTTAAGGTTAATATATTATATTATATATATGAAAAACTTTCTGGTATAACTCTCGAGTTACTTTATCGTACATCTTACTTTTTAATTTATCATATTTATAGTATTCATTTAAGGTTAATATATTATATTATATGTATGAAAAACTTTCTGGTATAACTCTCGAGTTACTTTATCGTACATCTTACTTTTTAATTTATCATATTTATAGTATTCATTTAAGGTTAATATATTATATTATATATATGAAAAACTTTCTGGTAGAGTTACTTTATATTTTTATTTTTATTTATATATATATATATATATATATATATATATATATAGTATTCATTTAAGGCTCATATATATATATATATATATAGAAAAAATTTTCTGGTATAACTCCCAAGTTACTTTATCTAACATCTTACTTTTTCTTTATTTCCAATGAGATTAACGTATTTATAACCATGCAAACTTTAATGTATTTATTCATTTATCATATTATCGCACATTTGATATCATTGGTTTAAGTCGATATAAGATTCGGTACTTCTAGGCCTTATTAGTAAGTTTCTTTTACAATTATATCTAAATAACTATGTTTTTTCTTTTCCCTTTCTTTTACAATGCATCCAAACAATGATGTGTTTTTATCTTACATTTAAAATTCCTATTGACTTATAAGGCATTTGCTTAATTCTGCATCAAGTAGTTTACAAAAAATATGATTACTGGAGTCAACAGTGAAGAATATGACTGTAATGGACCTATATGTCCACCAATTAAATTCCAATGAAATTTTAAAAAAAAATCATAACCAATGTTAGACATATCCAGCGGTGTACAAATATTTCTTATAAAGTAAATAGTTACAGAGTGTTCAATTCTGTACTGTCCGGGGTATCTATATATTTCTGTATAATATTCATACAAACATATATTTAAAATCCCAATTCTATATTCTAGTTTTGTTAAATTAAAGAAGTCTAATTCCCTTCCATGTCTTTTAGCTAAATTTCTTTTCATGCATTTTCTCCAAATTTCCTAGGAAAGAAGGATGGCGCAGAGTTAACGCACCTACATCTACCATGTGGGTATTCCCATGCTAAGATATTTTACAAGGCAAGCTTCCATAGGAACAACAACACTGAAAATAAATGGAAAGAAATGTTTCGCATTTGCTGTTAAGTGTGATTTAGAATTTCCGTGATTTCTTCTATACATTTATATCTCCAATGGTTAGCCTATGGAATAGTAGGGTTCCTCTTAATTTCTGGAGATTTAACCAACATGAATGCCTGTGTCTACAACAGCATATGGACATTAAAATAATCAATTACATGTATTCGTATAATTGTCATATTACACATACATTGTACATTAAGTGTACGAGAAGCATTTGTTTTACGTCCTTCTGAAGAATGCTGCATGATACAGACGAGGTCATGGCCGTTATCACTCCTGGTTGGCATAAAGGTTAAACTTGAATTGGTGCTGAAGGTTTCATCCGTTTTATCAAATGAAATAGTCACGCCTGCAAATATAAGCAATTAGGATTAAATTGGAGAAATGATACACCTGCATATTTACACAGAAAAAACAAACAAAGCATTCCTTGATCACCCAAAACTGTGCTCTATATTTTTATCATATTCAGTCAAATTTTTAAAGTGAACCCTGAGTGAAAATAGAAATGAATATAATATTATCATTTATGATTGAAAATTTAAATAATGTTTAAAACAATCTCAAAATCGGCAGACCCAATACCGAGATATTGTCGTGTAAGATGTACGATTTTCACATGTCCTTCTACTAGTTATCAGCTTAAGGGTGGCTAGAGCTCAATGGGATCCAGGCGGATGTGACGTCACAAATTCAACGACTGGTAGCAGCCGCGATGGAAGAAATAGGCTAGATCGAGAAGGGCCGTGCTATGCAACGTCTGATTGTAAATAAATGACTATTGATTTTAATGAATAAGATAATTCTGAATATAGCATTATCTAGACGGTAAACAGTCATATCAAATTTGCCAGAATTTTCAGAGAGTGATTGATTTAAACATTTTTATTGTCAATATTAAGAGGGATGAGGACAACTTATTACAACATAACATCTTCTCCCAATATTTTTAACATTTACAAAGTGAAAATGGAAAACAATTACTACCACAGAAACATGCATATATCTTTAATAACAATTTATTAAAATCTGTATTGACTTATTGACGGACTGCACGTGACGAACGCTCTGCGGTAAGATGAGGATTTCGGGAAAAAATTGAACGCAACATTCAAAGTACCGTAGTAAAATTTAGCAAAGATTTTTTTTCTTTAACTGATATAACGATAACAACACAAAAAGTAGTGAAATAGTTTTCAAGAGGATTACCACAAGTATACGAAGCATTATCAACTAGCGAATTTAATTGAAAAAAAAAAAAACCCAGACAGCTCGAGGGCAACGAAACCTGGTAGCATTGTATATAATTTATGAGCACTGATGAGAAATTTGCCGTAATTCGTTACAGAATATCTATAATCCGAAGTTATATACCGCGGAACACCACAGTACAGAAATGTATCAAAGAAAAAATATTTACAAAATGACTTAAACGTTGTTGTGTGGTGTTTTTTTATTAATATGATTTATGACATGCTATATATGTCTTAATGACAAATTGACGTCATCGTGCGTTACTTATGTTAGGTCGGCAAATGAAATATTTAATTTTACTGACAGTACTTATGTATGAGAAGCTTAAATACATCACGGGCCTATGTAGAATATAACCGTAATTAAAATATTCTCCTTACACATGCAAAATACAAATTGCTTCCGGTTTTTATAACTACAGATAAAAATACACGTGTTGCTGCTTTTTATGAGTAAAGATGTTTGTACTGGTGTATTTGTTCCAACGGTAAATGTATATTTTCAATTTATGGTGGATGCGCTTTCGTTAATTTGACTGAATTCTCAATCGGTTGTCAGCTTGTGTTGTATAAATACCGGACTTGCATAAGTCCGTATATAAATTTAGGATTCGTTATATTTTCTAGCGACCAATTGGATAATAAAAAATATTTATTTATATTAAGAAAAAATCCGTTGGTTTGATCAAACACGGAGTTATATATCTATTCTAAGTCCATGGTTCAGACACTCGTATACAATTCATCGTTTTCTACTTAAAAGATGATAATTTCATAATTGAATTAGTAAAACGTCAGATCTATATGTGTGTACCACTTAAAGTATAACCCACAGAAGTGAAGTGTCAACTTAATGTATCACTTAATTAGCTAAAAAAACATCGTTCACATGATGTTAGCTTCCCCATACATTTCTGTACGGCAGTTTTGACAGCGTTGGACTTGTGACGTCACAGATGTGGTCTACCCATATTTGTGCTTTTCAGATATATCACAATAACTAGGAAACAGAATTAGCTACCACGTTCACACTTTCTTCACATCTTATTTTATCATAAGGAGTATTTCATAGCTGAATTTAGCAAAACACTCAGGATGTACTTTAGGAATTATTCAGGTAGTGACGCTAGGTAGGGGAGATAACTCGTATAAAAAAGTATACGCCCGAAAATGATTACATTAAATTATAAATCTATAAATTGTTTTTTGTCCTATTATCATTATGATATTCTGGATAACATCCCCTAATTGCTTGGCTTGAACCACAAACCAACAGTGCTACTTTGCTGTCGATCGTCTAGGACAATATCTAAAGTATACATCTGGCTCAAAATACAAGTTCTGGTACTGCATAAGTTTATCAAAATAAATACCATTGGACCTCCTGAAACCATTTATCATCCAGATGACTTCAGGTTGCACAAACATTCCCTTGGTCTCACAGTAAACCGTGTACGTCATAAATTCAGTAACTGTGCTGATGTCTGTCAGAGATATATCATGTGAAAATTCTGCAAAAATAAAGTTTCAGATTTCAACAGGTGCTGCCTATCAGTTTCATTAGTTTTTATTCAAAACAAATTAGCATGAGTAAAGACAGAGTTTCATTGATTTGGCATGAATAATAAACTATATTTAGCCTTAAATAAGTCCCTGTAAAGACACATCGCCTCTCAGTCCAAGTCTTGGGGGGAATTCATCAGCATATACTGAAACATTCTGTCGTATAAACAAGATAATGCTCAATAATGTATGGTCAATAACAGATGTTGTTTAACATCATTAACACGTACGATCCATCGTTACAAAGCCACTTACTATAAACATCAGCAAATCTTCTTTCGCTGGAGGTAGTACTGTAAGCATTGGATGCAGTACATTTGAAAACTGCACCTCTGTCAGTTGTAAAGTTTACGACAAATGTTAAAACACTCGAAATGGGATTGGTATTGTCGTTGCCATATATTGACAGAAAGCCTGTCTGTAGAGACACACCATTCCTTTCCCATTCAATTGCCGCTTGAGGGTTACCACCAGAGGAATTGCAATACACGGATACTGTGTCACCGTGGTAAACGATACGATTAAATCCGGACATGATCGGCAATCCAGCTTCCTCTATAAATCAATGTAAAAGTGACATTGAAAAAGTATTTCTTCTGGACTGAAAAACAGTTTATTACAATCAAAAATTCGTTGAATGATTGAAGATATAGGGAATTATAATCAAAGATTATACAGACACAAAAATGATAATCAGAACGAGATGATAATAGATATTTTGTAAATATTTTAATGTAAGTGAAACGATCGCAGTAAAACAGGTATAAATCAACCTACCGTATACCCTCAGGTAAAACTCCGCGGTATTTATTGCCATCCCCACACTGTTCATGGACGAACAGACATACGTCACACTGTCCGTGTAATCTGCATTTAGAACAGTCAGTATTTGGCCGTTGGTACCCGTGATGAAGTACTTGGTTGAGGTAACAATCCTCGTGCCAGATGCCTTATTCGTCCACGTAACGTTGTAGTCCAGACCAGATATAACATTACACGTCACAGTAAATGTGGCACCTTTCCTAACAAGACCAGAGGGGGAATCTATAGAAACTCGTGGCTTATCTGTAATAAAGATCAAATACCATAAATTCAAACGTATATTGGAATCACGTCTGATTGCCAATAATGAATGATCTATGAACAACGAAATAAGTTGAATTCTTTATATTTTATGGGAGTCGCAGACTTTTAAGGAGAAAAGGAAAACACGTTTTACATACAGTTACTTATTCAGCTCCAAAAAAATACACACACACATATATATAAGGATTAGATTAGAAATAAGCCCTGTTAATATAGAAAACCTAAAACCTAAAAAGTGTCGAAATGTTTTTACTCATCATAATATGAAATGCCATCGTTGACCGAAAATATCTTTTGTTTATGAACATTCACCTCTTTGATGTAAAATGGCGTATGACTTGCATTACCACTTTGTTAGGCCCAAAAAGTCCTTACAACATCTGGTCCCTTGGAGAAAAATATATTATTGATTAGACTACAAGTTACAAACTGAAGCAAAAGCCAGAGGCACTGTGTCAGATTGGAACAGGTTCAGAAGGACACTTCTACAATGATTACTTTAAGGATAGGTCTTCAAGTCATGATATACTCACATCGTATAATTATAGCAAATGAAGCATTGCTGGAAGTCGTCTCGGGATGCGTCACCATAAATGTAACATGTGTTCCATTCAAATTTGATGACATCAATAAATCAAGTGACGACATATATGCATATGTTCCCTCCGAGTTAATTATTTCCCCGATATATGACGGTGCCATGTCCACATTGCCAACAAGCCAACGTACTGCAGCGGTCTTTGGATTGTATCTTGTTATAGTACCGTTGATGCTATAAGTTTGGTCTTCATTAAAACTTGCCACTTTATTTTCTTCGTCCCAAAGGACTGGTGACATCTCGACTTTTGGCTGCGGGGTCACTAAGGACAGAAGTGTATGACAAAACAAACATGAATCGAAGTAGGTTTAGTGTAATTCGTATCTCTAGCTTACTCTGAAAATATAATCACTATAAATAATCAGAACAGTGCCAAATATATCACGAAAAATTCCAAAATAGACGAGTCCTATATTTGGTATTTCATAACTTCAATATAACAGTTTCTTTAATGGAAATATATTTTAATGTTGAAAGACAATAAAATACTTTCTGCAATAAAGAGTCCTACACTGTTCACACCTTGTCAAATTGTTTCATGACAGAAAAGGTAACAATAGTATTTATCATTTTTCTTTTGTCAATTCAGTATAAACATAATTGCCCAACCATTGAGAGCTTTTACTCGTAAATACACCATTATGAAAGAACCACCATGTCTAACCCACCCAAATAAATTGAAAATCATCTCATGTCATTTCACTACAAAATATCACTTAAAGTTAAACAGGAATATTGAATTTGGACAATACAAGTAACCATACCGGAAAAAAACTAATAGAAATTGATGAAAATAATTGTATTCATTACATATCAAAAATTATGATACTGCCTGTATCTTAAGTGCAGGAGACGATAAGTCGACTAGGATAAATGTGACAGTTTCGATCTTCTTCCCTTTTCTGAATTTCTTAGTCGAGTAAGAATGCTTCATTCCTAAGTACACAACTCAACTTGAAAGCTTTGATCTAATGAAGCATGCACAAAAATTAGCCATGAAAAGTACCTTTAAACATATCATATTATTTTCATCAACAGTTTAATTAGTAACAGCAGTGATATGAATGAGATAATGATGGGTTAGATTCCCTTCACCATACCATCTAAGCATTTTACAACCAACAATAAAAGCAAACAAATGAGACATTGAACATGCAGATGTGAGAAATGTCGATGAATGTATGCTATAAATGGTTGACCTGATTTGATTGTTTTTAGAGATGGTCATTTGATAACTATTACAAATTACATTGTTAATGTCTTCACTGTTATTACTTTGTGTGGTAAGAGGTAGCCTATGTCATTTAACACCGATTAGTTTATATAAAATTTCCATAATCTTAAAGGGCAGTCATAAGACATGAAAGGTGACCATTAAATGTCATAATTAGGAATAAAGGGAAAGCTAATATGAAAAAATACAGTGTACTTTGTTGACATTGACACTGACATATGGTAAATATATCCCTATGGCATAGGCTTATTGCAAGAAACTACATAAATTGCGATCTGTATTGAAACACATACCTACAAACAAAAAAATCGAGTAATAGGGAAACAATCATGCGTAATAAAATGTTAAATAATCTTGACATAATCTTGAACGTGTGAAAAAATATACTAATGAAAAAGGATGTTTAAAGTATACAAATTCATCATAAAAAGCTCAGCACACCTCTCCGACACCAACGCTAATTCTGTTTGTACATATCTATAGTCATTCCTTTAATAAGCCCAGGTCTCAAAGTAGATTTTGTACAGAACAATGAAGTCACACTTTATTTTTTTCAATGAATTACACTAGACATGTTTTGGCGTTTTTTACCAGTCATGGGCTTATTGCTGGATATCTACGTTAAGAAAGACTTATAGACTTCAAATGTAAAAGTCATATCTTTCTACGTATACAAATTTAAATGTTCAACAGCAAATTATTCGAAACAATGGAAAGACATGCTTCTGAAATTACATTGTTTTACTTGTGCATATTTATTTCTTAATTTCTAATGTCAAACAATCAAATTTAATCAGTGATTTTTTGTTTTCTTCCCATATATTTAATACAATTAGAAAGTATTTAATAAGCAACGATCATGGGGTATTTAAATTACGACATCCATTCAAACATACTGGCATCAACTTTAACAACATTTATTGTTACTGGTGTTAAATAATGTATTTCTTCATTTCCTTGAATAAGACGTCATCATCATATATCAATGTGAAAATAACTTAAAATCATTTTTTCTAAATTTAGTCCTAATAAACTCTTCTTAAAATATTATCAAAATATGAGGTCGTATACAATTCATCTCTTAATTAAATTCTACATCACATCAATTAACTCTTACCATAAACATCTTTGAGTGCGAATTCAGTCGAAACTGTTGCGTGTTCGTTTTCCGTCTCGCATACATAAACGGAACTGTTGTCACTGAATGCAACGACTGAAGAATAGTCGTTATACACAAAACTAGCAGACACATCTATTGAGGCTTTAGATGATCCATCTACGACCACGTCAGCTGTGCCTCGTTTCCAGACCAGAGAGGGTACTGGAAAGCCAATGCTAGTACTACAGTTCAATACTAAAGATTCTCCTTCCAGCAAAATTCCATTGGGATGACTTGTTGTAATGATAGGCTTGGTTGGTATACCTGAAGATTAAACAACCGAACGATATGAGAATATCACATGACAGCAAATTGTTAGTATTTATCAGATAAAACATTAATAGGTGACTTTCGACTAAACTTAATTATTCGCTATAAATAGTGTCACATTGAGTTGAAAAATTCATTCTATTGCTAAACATCTATATCTCTTAACTTGCTGAATAAAGTAACAATGTTAAGGGATTGTTTTTCAACACATACTGTTGCATCCATTGCAATATTTACTGCTGATAATACATCGATGGACCACACACTAAACGTATCGTCAATTTTATGGCTGTTTTAGTTAAGGCGTGGGTATTTGGAAACTTTCTTTGAAATACGAAATCTTGGTTTTTAGATTTTGTTTTGTTTTGTTTTGTTTTTTTTTAATGGATAAAACTCATTAATTGGAATACATGAATATAACTCATACAAACAACTTCTACCGATACATACCAATCTGTTCATATAAAGTTTATGTTATATATACACTCGTTCTTGGAAATAAATAGATTATAAATGGGACAGTCGTGTGGTTAACCAATTTTACAGATGTGTGAGCCTCAAAAACTGCCCGTTTTATTTCGTCAGTTACCGTTTAGTAAACATATAATTGTTACATTCAATCATCCCATCTTTTGATGTATAATTCAAATCTCCAACAGCATGGTATGTTCATATCAAATGTAATAAACTTGGCCAGTAAAATAAATCTATTAAGAGTTTGCCTTTCTTCAGGGATCACACATGCACTGACAGAGTATCTCTGTTAGGAGAATGTGTGTCTTGGGGTCACCTCTACAGGAAAACCACATCTTATAAGAGATTAAGAGATCAGTTCTATAGAGAAAATCGAGGTAGTCAGCATCATCTCTAGAGAGACTACCTCTGCAATGAGACCACCTCAACAAAGGTAAATCCGTGAAGAGACTACCACTGCAGAGATCATCTCTGTAGTGAAACCAGCTCTGTAGAGAATCTAACTCTGTAGAGAATCTAACTCTGTAGGGAAGCCACCTCATGTAGAGAAGGTACCTCATGTAAAGAAGGTACCTCCGTAGAAAAGCCATCTCATGTAGAGAAGCCACCTTTGTAGAGAAGCCACCTCTGTAAAGAAGACACCTCTGTAAAGAAGCCACTTTATGTAGAGAAGCTACCTCTCTTGAGAAACCAGCTCTGTAGAGAGCCACCTCTGTAGAAAAATCAGCTACCTCATGTAGAAAAGCCACCTCTGTAGAGAAGGTTCCTCATGTAGAAAAGGTACCTCTGCAGAGAAGCCACCTCTGTAGAGAAACCAGCTCTGTAAAGAAGATACCTCTGTAAAGAAGCCAGAAGAAGCCACCTCTGCAGAGCAGCCACCTCTGTAGAGAAGCCACGTCTGTATAGAAGGTACCTCATTTAGAGAAGGTACCTCTGTAGAGAAGCCACATCTGTAGAGAAATCAGCTATGTAGAGAAGTCACCTCTGTAGAGAAACCACCTCATGTAAAGAAGCTACCTCTGCAGAGAAGCCACCTCTATAGAGAAGCCATCTCTCTTGAGAAACCACCTCTTTAGAGAAGCCACCTCATGTAGAGAAGCTACCTCTGTAGACAAGTCACATCTGTAGAGATACAAGAGTCGTTAAGAGTGTGTAGAGGATACTTCTCCTTCGATAAAATTTCTTCTTAAAAAGCAAATAAAACTCACCGAAGGCAGTTAAGTTTGATGGTTGACCAATTTCCGATTGTCCACCCTGATGTCTCGCTCTGCAAGTATATAGGCCAGAATCGGTAATCTCGAAAGGGCTGATCGTCAGCACGTTGTTCACTGTAGAAAGTTTTCCTCTACTAGCTGCCACGTCAATGAGCACACCGTCCTTGTACCATTGAATACTGAAATTTGTTTCAGTTGACGAAACAACACAAACTACTGAGGCGGCAGTGAATAGCTCCACCAGCCGACTTTCGGGGACGTTTTGAATCTCCGGAAGCACTGTAAAATTATTTAAGAATAATGTTACAATACATTAATTTGAAGAAGTAATACCATTTTTCTCTGTCTTATCGTGAAGATACGGAAGCAATGTATCATTTGAATACAAAACTTTGCTAATCAGCTTATAAATCACTTGAGACAGTGTCTAAACAATTACTTGAACTTGGCAATACAACATATAAGCTATAGTTGGTGACTTCTGGATGATTGCCATAGTAACTATCCCATACACGTTCAAACCATCTACATTTATTCTTTTCAATAGGAATGGATATTCTGCACAGATTATAAAATATGTATCAATTAAACGTTATAAAACAATTAAATTTTCATTGATAATTTGCTTATGTTTAATATTGACCGTTTAGACACAGTAAAGCTATCCATTCAGAACAAACAATGTCATGACCAAATTAAGCATAATGATATAAAGGCATATAAGGCGACCACAACTGTATATCTCTCTTGTCATATAACATAACATCTTAATTGGTTCCCTTGCTAATGAATATCAAGTTCAAAACATTTCTAAAACTGATACTGGTGATCTTAATGACCATTAGATCTTAAAACACAGCCTCAGGCCACAGGCTTTGTTGAATCTGTAGAACTTTTTACTTATCGAAATGGAATCGGTCATATGAAATGACAGATTCTAAATACAATAGAGCTGGAGTTGACACATATAGTGAATTCCTTATGATATAAAAAGTCACAACAAAATAAAATCAAAACTATACTTACAATGTAAAAGTACCGAGCGAGAACGTATCACCGTTGTGTTTGTCTCCAACTGAGTTACAATGCATGTGACGTTCTTGTTCATGTCACTCGCTTCAAAAACGTGTGAAAAATACGACGATATCTGATAATCGCTTCCGTGAGTCGTAACGTTTGCTGTTGAAGTCACAACTGATGTCCCTACAAGCCATCTGAAGGTTGGATTCGGGTACGCGCGTGTGTTACATAGAAAAACTGACATCTGCGTTTCATATACCTCCGTAGGTCCGCTAAGTGACGTTTCAGAAGGAAGCACTGTAACCAATGACATGTTAATAGTGTTAGTAGTGTTCCTGTCAACCTCTAAATTCTTTAGAAAGTCTCCGGATATATACTCGAAAATGTTAAAGCCTTGACAAGTATTAGTCTACTTATTTACAAAATTCAAAATTTTTAACTATATGAAATTAGACGTCGGATTAGATTTGTCATAAACTTAAGAGGCTAATAAGCATAATACGTTATTTGGGCTTTCACCTGAACCATACTCGAAAATAAGCCTAAATTCGAAAATAAGATAATCCCAATAATAAATAAACCAGTTCTGCTTACTATTACTATTATTTTTTTCGAATTTTAAGTATATCAAAAGCTCTAAATGTTTCATAGATTTTTCTTCTCAAAGAAAGTAGACAGTTGACAGGTCAGTAAACAGTAAACTCTATAGCGGTGAAGAAACTATATGATATAAAATACATATCTACATTACATATCATATCGTATATTAGTATATAGATAAAGAATTATACTACGTTTATTCTTCAGGTTATAGATACATTGATACTAAAATAAACAAATAAGACGAAGAACAATACATTTTGTTATTTGGTCCTCACTAATACACCAACATTGTTCGTTCTTTACAGATATGTTGTGTTGCTACTGTCAAATGATTTTTCACGTGATGTCATTGGAAAGTATTGCAGAAAACCCTGTTTGTGAGTTGTGGTTACACCTACGTATGATAACAGATACGATTCCTATTGGCAGAAAACCCTGTTTGTGAGTTGTGGTTACACCTGTGTATGGTAACAGATATGATTGCTATTGACATTAAAACCTGTTTGTGTGTTATGCTTACACCTGTGTATGGTAACAAATACGATTCCTATTGGCAGTAAAACCTGTTTGTGTGTTATGCTTACACCTGTGTATGGTAACAAATACGATTCCTATTGGCAGTAAAACCTGTTTGTGAGTTATGCTTACACCTGTGTATGGTAACAGATATGATTCCTATTCACATTAAAACTTGTCTGAGAGTTATGATTACACCTACGTATGGTAACATATATGATTCATATTGACAGTAAAACCTGTTTGAGAGTTATGATTACACCTACGTATGACAAGAGAGATGATTCCTATTGACTGTGAAATCTGTTTGTAAGTTATGATTACACCTGTGTATACTAACATATTGCCTGACATAATTTTTTTTGCTGAATGATTACCGATTGTCTAGATCCTACCATCATTTTTTGTCTTTAATTAATTTGTCTTTTTACTTTATTTTTGCGAATGAAAAAGCATTATCTTCATATAGCAACATGCTTTTATAATGAAGCTAAACTGGGAATGTTTATACACCGTCAAACTATCATAAAAACGAATTTCCAAAATTCACTTCTAAATGTTCCAAAAGAACTTTTCTAAAAAAGACTTTATATTGAAATACTCTCCATTCCTAAACACAACAAGTTTCAACTGTAACTTTAGTATATGTATAAAGATATTTAGGCAGATTAATCTAAGATCAAGCATTTTGTATATATAAATAAAAGGCCAAGCTGACAGAATATGATAATAAAGCAAAGAAAGTATATTTCAATGTATAAAAATACCTTACCATAAACATCTTGGATTTTCTTGGGGTCAGAAGTCGAATTGCTGTAGAAATTCGCAGCATTACATGTAAACACATCTTCCCGACCACTAAACGTCACTACAAATGTGTAGGAGCTAACTAATCCGGCAGGAGCCGTAAGGAAAAGGGCTCCATTACGGTACCAGGTAATTATCGGAAGAGGGTAGCCGTCCGCTGAGGTACAATTAATGGTCAAAATCGTGTTCTCTACCACAGCGACCTCAAGGCCTGCGATAACTGGCTTTACAGGATAAGCTACATAGACAAACCAAAAATGGCATTTGAATTGATTTTCAAACACATTATTTTAAATTTTAATGCAATCAGTAACATTAAATAGCACATCGCCTTTCCCTGGTCATTAAACTGCAATTACCACACGAAATTCATTATTGATTCCTGCTCAATATTCTTTCTCATGAAAAAATGCTTTAAAAGTAAAACAAAATTTATTCAGACCTCATATAAATTTGTTTTCAAATTGAAAAATCGGAATAAATCCTGACTGGCTTCATAACAAGACTAAAATTTACCAAATACAGTTGCCACCAAAATGTTACTGCTGTCGGAAACTCCAGCAGCATTCTGGGCTGCACAGTGGTAAGGTCCCTCGTCACTAATATCGACAGCATTTATGGTAAGATTGGGACCATTGAACGTAAAACGAGTTGTTGATGACACAGCCAGACCGGTGTTTGATCTGTGCCAGGATACCGTCGCCCCAAGCTCGGAAACAACTGTGCAATGGAGTGTCAGAGGCCTGCCTTTCTCTACCGTCACAGAGGAATTTGTTATAGAAACTCTTGGTATAGCTGAAGAAATGAAAACAATGTACTGTCACTTTGAAGTTGAATGTTAGTTTAATGTTAAATTTGTTCGTATAAACCAAAATATTAATCTGCAAAATTATATCATATCAAATTTGTAAAGTGAAATCGGAACTACGAAGGCCTTATCTTGTTTTAATACTAAGCTAAATATATTTATACGCTTGCATACCGGAATACATCCAAAAAAGAAGTTAAATTTTACATTTTCAATGGGCTTATTGATAGATAGATATAGTTTTTAACTACTTACAGTAGCCGTACAGTTGTAACGTTTTATTTATCGTTGGTCCGGTTTCATTAAAGGATACTCTGCACACCAGTTTCATGACTCCAGAATCGCTGTATCGCGCTCTATGTGTCAGGTTAGAAAATACATTGTACGTTCCGTCTGAGTTACGATCTTGTGAAATTTGTCCCGCAAGAAATTCCTCATCAAGAAACCAAGATATGGAGGCTGGTGGTAATGTTCTCATGGTTTCACAGTAGAATAGGCTTGTCTGATTTTCATATAATATAGAATTTCCCAAAATGGTAGTCCTTTGTGAAGAGGGCAGAACTAAAACACAAAAAAATTTTAATAGGTTACCGAAATATTTTTCAAATGCTTTTGACACATGAAATATGTTTATTAAGCCTTGATATACTAGCCAGTTACAAATATGGTTTTCATATTAATATCAAATACAGTTGCATTATATTAAAAAAACATTATAAATTAATAGACAAATCAATAAATGTTTTTAGGTTTCAGAACGGAAGATATAATCAAAATATTTCAATACTTGTAGCCTGTTATATCTCAATTTCTATTCATATTTTATTTTTCACAGGAAAACGAAACATTACCAAAATCCTTTAGCTTGGGTAGGTTAGATTTAATTCCATACTCAAGTATAGATTGGTTAATCAATGACCACACACGAAATACACAAACGTTATGTTTACACCATTTTGTTGATATGGAAATGAAATCAACATGATATGAATATATATTAGTGATGATAATGCTGTTTCAATAGCAATACACTTTATTCATCGGGAAAATAAATTTATGAAGAAGTTCGAAATTCACATGTCTCTAGGCGGAAATGGTTACGTTTTAAACTGTAAAATAATGTAACTGTACAAGAGAGTTTACTTTTATACAAATAAATATATATATATATAGGTTAAATGATCAAATCAACATTAAACGGATAGTGCAATGAAGAGATAGAAATAAAAAGGCAGTGTACACGTAAAAAGATTTACTTATTTCAAATATACAACTTGATCTCAACCAAGACATCAAATATTTAATCTTTCTTCTAAATCTAAAGACTATGCCGTACTTGAAATGGACAAAATTTTATACATAACCTAATTTGATATTCACATGGCAAATGGAATCTCATGAATCAGTTATTTCTTATTATCCGTTTTCTTCATAATATTGTTTGTTACATTTTTGCAGTGTAACAAATTGGGTTTTTTTTTCATCAAATTTAAAGTAACCAGTAACCAGCATTACACTTCACGTTCCATAATTTATGTAACATATTTGTTAATATTATCATTTCACTTGTTTTGTGTGTCCTTGTAGTTATATTAATATCTCCATACATATGTGCTTGTACAATGTGTGTGACGAAATATAAGCGGCAGACTGAAACCACTCGACATATGATATAATTTTTTGTCACAATACATCCGATGTATGATAGTTTTGCAATCGATGCAATGGCAACTCACATCATTGCAACAAATAGATATCCTTTTTATGTCTTAACATTCTTAATACGTGTGAAGGGCACAAATATCATGTGTTACAGATGTCTGTAAGGGAAATGCAATTTGACTAGTATCTGTTAATGCTGAGAAATCATCGAATGACGCGGTCATTGTAAAATATATTTTACAATTTACATGTATACTCACTCCCAAATGATTATCAAAAACATCATACCATGAACTGTAGAGATTAATGCTGTAGTGAAGAGCGTTCCAAAATCGTTCATGGTGGTACAATTATATACAGCCCCCGTATCTTCGATATAATTCACAACAAATGTTAGTGTGCTGGACACGAAACCCTCCATGACTCTAATCGTGATGCCATCGTAGATCGGGGTTACTCCCTTAGACCAGGTTATGTTTGGAGAGGGTACACCATTACTTGTAGTACAAGTCAGGGAAATTGTCTCTCCTTCATATGGAACAGATGATGGCGATATAGTTATTGTCGGTACTCCAGGAGGATCTGAAAATAAAATTATGGTTGTCTCTTTGAAAAATACGGTTGATCATGTCAGACTAATTTATTGACAAACGCTGGAAGGAATAGTTGAATAATATTATGCTCAGTCTAGTACATCAATTGTGTTGTATTGCTTTTCCTGTTATTTTCAAATGACCAATCAAAAAGAGAGCAACATTTTAACCAAATTCAAAATGACCAATCTAAAAGAGAAAAACAATGAAATTTGCTATCAAATGACCGATCAAAAAGGAAGCAACATGTGAATCTATTTTCAAATGGCCAATCAAGTTGAGAGCAGCATTCAAATTTCAAATTTCAAATTTAACTTAAAATTAACAATAACAATGAGAGCAACATTTAAATTCATTCCCAAATGACCAATAAAAAAGGAATCTATATTAAAAGTTATTCTCAAATTACAAGTTATAAGGTGACCGACATTGAAAACTTTGTGATTCCTGTGAATAAACAATACGTACCATAGGCACTTAAAACCATTTGGCTGGTTTGATTGGACAAACCAGCCTTGTTCTCGGCTTTGCAAGAATATGCCCCATCGTCTGCCGTCTGGAAGTCCACAATGGTAAGATATTCACCGGACATGAAATAGTTGTTATCCGTGGGAGATATCTCAAAGTTGTCAATGAACCATAACACTATAAATCCTAAAACTGAATCTACTCGGCACCTGATGTTCTTGTTGGTACCAATTTTCACGTTGGATGAAGTAGGTTCCAGGCTAACCCTTGGTTTAACTGTAAATAAACAATAAATATTTAGCTCAGTTATTGTGAAATTAGCATAAAATATCTTTATCAATAGTGGGCAATTTGAAAGTACTTTGGATAATCCCTCGAAATCACCAAAATTGACTCCATTTCCTTCGCTCATGATTGAACAAAAATTGTTGGTTCAGTCTTTATTAAACAATAACTCAACGCCGAAAAGCAATAAACATACGGTTTTTCTAGGGTTTTTGTTTTTGGTGAAACGAAGATACAACCCATATGTAGGATATATGGTATTCGTAGGCGGTAAACATGAGCAACACGATTAAATATTCCGATGTTTGCTGAAATAAATATGTATGTTTAATATATAACTTACGGTAAATCGTCAGGGTCAATGTGATCGACAGGTTAAAATCATGTCCGTCGGGCTGGTGCAATACGCATATTAGAGGCTTCCCTACATCCTCAGGTGTCGGCGTAAAAGTGAGGTTTGATATCGTACGAACAGTTAGGAAGTCAGAGTTATTGACACTTGACTGACTGGCCTGTGACGTCATGTCGGTGTCCCCAAGGAACCAGAAGAACGCAGGAGCTGGTCTCGCTCTGACCGAATAACATTGATGTTGGATGGGTCCGTCTTCATAAGCTTCACTAGCACCATCTATAGCAGGAGATGTTGCTGGAGCTGTGATAAGAAATAAGGCATTGACGAATACTATTGACAAAAATGTCAACCATTTTGTAGTTTTTGTACACTTTTTCCTCCTAGCGCAGTACAGTGTCACCTAAATTTTAGTAGAATCAACAATAGACACTGATGCATTATCTCGTTATAAATCTCACTTTAAGACACATTCATTGTGATTACATCTTCCTTAGGATTATTGCATAATACATGCCGAACAAAAACCAAGAAAATACCAACATGAAAAAATCATAATAATCCAAACTCAAATTTCATCAACCTAGGGCAATAATAAGACCAGGGCCCGTATTCATGAAGCCATTTTCATGCTCAAGCATAGATTTTGTGCTCAAGCAGACTTTTTTATAATTCGGCTAAATCATATAAAATAATACAAATGTCAAATATAAACATTGAATATCACTTTGACTTGAAGTCCTGTCAAACGTGTTTTAAAATCTTTGGCAAAATCAGCATTATTTATTAATTTTTAACTTAAACAAGATATAATCTTGAGCACAAAATTCATGCTTGAGCATGAGAACGGTTTCATGAATACGAGTCCAGGTGTTCTTGAAGAGCAAGCATCTTCTACTTCGTCAATCTATCAATTTAAGAGCAATTTGTACATCCGTCCTGCTTCTACTCACCATACACATCAGTCAAAGAAGCAACAAGAAAACGTGTCCCAAAGGCGTTAGCAGATGTAACCCTGAACGGTACTTTAATATCTGCCAGAGATGGAATGAAAGAAAAAGTGTTGTAGGTGACGTTGCCAATAGTTGTGGAACTGCTATCGAGAGCGGTTCCATTTCTTGCCCACGTCAGGGTCGGGACGGGATAACCACCATATATAGAAGCGTTTGTGTAGATTGTCTTTCCTTCAACACCCGTAACAGGAAACGTGATGGTAGGGACACCTGGCAATTCTGGAAATTCAAAATCACATAAATTTCGTAATTAATATTTTTCACAACCTTTCTCAATATCAGGAACAGATAGAGAAGACCAACCCCATTTATTAAGAATATCCAACATAGAGAAATATACATTCAAGAACGTTTTAGGTCTTTATTATATAGTACAGTTGTGTAACTCATAACCAATTCGTGTGTTGAAATAGATTTAGTTGATCAAGGAGTTCAGAAGGATAAAAAAAAGAATAATGAATTCTGGACATTGGGTAGAAGAGGGTTAACGATTGACTGTATAAGCAACGAGGTATGTGTTATTCAGTGTGACGATTTCTACTTTCATATCTAGATCTTTCCATTTACTGATGGCAATATTCCTAGTGTTCCTAATCACTCCTCCAAATTGCTTAATATCACAGCTGATTCAATAATCTTGCTTCAAATAGCATGCTTCTTTTGACAGAAATAAATGGCTTACAAAAACATTGGGAGGTGCAGTTTTAATGAACCAGGCAGAAAAAGTATTTCATGATCAGCATAATGATGGTAGCCAATAAAACAGTTCAGAAACCAGACTTACGATACACTGTGAAGACAACAGGTGTACTCAGCCCAGACGATCCGGCAGCATTGTAAGCACTGCACATGTAACTTCCCTCATGTTCAAGAATTACTGGACTGAAAGTCAAAGTTCTCTGGCCAATGATGTAGTTCAATTGGTTGTTCTGCAATGGTGCATTACTTCCAGTTTTGTACCACAAGACTGTGACACTTAACACTGTTTCAACATTACAGGTGAGCATACGTGTTGTACCTAGCTCAGCCTCTGAATCCACTTCTGCGACGTAGGCAGTTGGAATGACTGAAAGTTGAAACATAAAGCAATATTTTACATCAATTTTTTTTGTCAAGCGTCTCTAAATTTTTTGTATTTAAAGAAATAAGTTTTCATAATGAACGATTTCGTTCGTTATTTACAAGTATGCGGTAATAATGCTATTATGACGGGATCTCAGCCTAAAATAGAAGAAGATTAAATGATACAATAATCGGGGTTTGAAACGGCAGAAATCTTTAGATGAAGCAGAAAGTGCAGACATGGATACATAAGTATGAATTGTATCATTTTTCACAAAAAAAAAAAAAAAAAACAAAAAAAAAAAAAAAAAAAAAAAAAAAAAAAAAAAAAAAAAAAAAAAAAAAAAAAAAAAAAAAGAAATAAAAACTTTGGAACAGGACAGCAAAGGTTTCAATTTTTTGAGGTCGTAACTAAAACTGAAAAAAGAGTTAAATGGATTAATTTTCCATCATATACAGATCACGAACGACAGGAGGAAGTTTGTTTAGCATCAATTTTTCATATTTATCCGGCAACAACCATCGCCATGTAATAAACCTTGCAGCATCTTGTTTGGTAGATTACAAATGAATGTGTTATGGTATACTGGTGCCTGTAATACTGGGTCGTAATTTTTATGATGGCCCTGGGCTTATTGCAAAATAAATACTCGATATAAATATTGGGCTTTATCAATAAATCGATCAGCTAATGTTCCCAATAGGAATCTGTATAGAGACAAACTGAATTTTTCCTATACCCAGGAAACAATATATATGAATGACAGGATTTGTTTTATCTCTTATTAATGTTTTTATTTAACATTAATTATTATTATTAGTTTTATTACTTCCTTTTTTTTCAAATTAATTCACACGTCTTGACACAAATTATATTTGTATTATCAACGTACGGTAGACAATAAGTGCATGGTCAGTGGACAACGGGGTCACGGGTAGAGTGACGTGATGAACGAAGCATGTCAAGATTTTTCCAACATCAATTCCTGCTATAGGTAGTGTCAAATTGGAGTACACATTCAAAGTACCAGTCTTTTGTGAACTAGGTTCTTGAGTACTTATAGCTCGTGACGTGACATTTTCTCCTCCGTATGTCCATGATATTGTCGCAGCAGGGTTGCTAGCAAATGTACTACATACAAAAGAGAATGTGTGGTTTTGTAGTACAATGTTGACTCCAGAAATAGTAGGTGCGGTCGGAGTAACTGTAAAAAGGAAGACGGATGCATATTAATTCTATTGTATCAAGTCTATCATTAATGCATTTTATGATATCAAATACAAGAAACAAGGTTATAATTTTATATCCATGTCTATAGACACTTTTGGTCAAATTGTAGACAATATATATACCTTGGAAAAATATTAATTCCTGTTCTGCATTAAGAGCAAACAATCAATATTCATAAATACCTATGTGAGACAAAGTAAGTCATGTTTCTTAAAAAAAATGTTATAATTGTTAATGGCGTTTTCATTAATTAATTTTGAGTAATTATTCCATTCATATCGAACAGCATATGTGTTAATCGGTGGAGAGAGTCAGTATAAGCAGAGCGGAAGCGTATATTCTTTAGAAATACATATATAAAGTATGACATATACATTATTTTGGTGTTAAATGTTACAAAAACACCTATACATTATCCACCAGATATAAAGTTGTCATACATAATATTTAATGTAAAAAGATGTATTGTAATTACATGGTATAATTTTGTATAAATTTATACACTGTATTTACAATATCTCGAACAATACAAATACATTTACTAAAACATAATTAAAACACTTAATATGATGGTTAATCATAAATTGATGATAATGAGTAGATTACTTTTTAATTGTTGAAATATATCATTGTGATATAATACCCTAAATGTTCCCTGAAAACGTAATAAGCGTTAACATTGTGTATTGTTGATGTCTGAAGTTATTTCTGCCTTGAAAATTCCTTAAGCTGCGGCGCCTTTTACATGAAACATTTTAATAGACATAAGCGGAAGGATCATTACCCGTGTAACAGGCTTTTGTAAAGAAATGTCTTTATTCATAACGAAACTTTTACTGTTTTGCTAAGCGTTGAACGTGTATTGCATCATTATTCAATAGAGTATATTATGGATCCGTATTTTGAAAAAGGAGATCTTGTCCTATATAAACCAATCGTATTCCATTTAGATTCAGGCGGTGTAAAAGCAATATGCAAATCAATACATCAGATGTCAAATCATTGCATTTATTTTGTTTCTAATGCGCAAAAAGACAGTGTTCATGCAATGTAAAGAAAAAATTATAAAAGCTTTCACAATCAAAATAGTGAGCACCTGTATATAGACGTTAATGCCCCTAGAAATCTCCCCGGTGATTCCCATGTAGTTGTGCACCTGTAAAAATCAAAATACTTGATGTTATACAAAAAAAAAAAAAAAAAAACAAGAACAAAAAAACAAAAAAACAAAAACAAAAACAAAACAAACAAAAGCAAGAACTTTAGATTGTTTGTCATATATTGTAACTTAATTCGTATTGTTTTACTTCTTTGTTTCTATTTATTGTTGTTTAATTTATTATCTGTAATTTAATTATAATTGTATCCAATTCTAAATTTGTAGTGAAAGATATTTCAACACTTGCCAATAGTGTCTCACACTATTCGTTATCTTTATTTAAAGAATTGTTTACTTTCATGAAAGGAGGGGTGACAAGGTGGGCAATTCTGTAGTCATTTAGTGGTACTAAAAGATACTTTAAGATTAGTGTTATAAAATTTGCTTTCCAAAACGTCAGATTTGTTGTAGGATCTTAGATAAAATGTTAAGTTCAAAACCATGGTGAAGTAAAACGTTTGATAACAACTCCGTTTTAGTGCAAGTTGTAATTTTTGTGTTGTGTTTTTGTGCTGAATTTAAAGTATCCTTGCCGCAAAAATTAGACCTACCACTGAATGGTACATACTGGCACCCCACCTTTATGATAGATATATTGTATAGCTACCTGTTAATATTGATGTCTATAACATCTGTTGACACCTACCATAAACGAAAAATGTGTCAGTCAGCTTGTATTTTTCATATACTTTTTACCTATTGAGAAAATATCTCAATGTAAAAAACATACAAGGCCAATATTAAGATTGAACGATGAACAGCAATGGATAAAAGATCAATAAACACACTAAAACATAAAAAGGGCAATATCAACACAAAACAAAAACAAACAACACAAACACACAAAAAAACATAATATATAATGTCAGCTGGACTGAGGGTAAATGTGTGTCCCATGCGGGTCACGGTATTTTCTGGTGTATTATTTGGGCATAATTACCTAAACATATTCAGTTTTCCTTCTTTGTGCATCTGATCTGCAATGTCCTCAAATCAGGAATGATTATATATCCAAAGTCATTGTATATCATGTCTGTCGATCAGCGACGAGAAGTAAGACGCAGGAAAACAAACGTTCTTTTTTTCAAATCGATATCAACAACGTAAAATAGTCGTCACATAACGATAAACAATACCAAACAAATTTCGTGTTGTAAAATTTATTAACAAACTTTATGATATTACAATATTTTCAAATTGGTGTCAGAGAGGTTGTTGATGCTCTTAATTAATATAAACAAAGAACAAAACCCCCCAAAAATATTTTAATAATAGTAACTAACAGAGAGTCTATTCATATCAAACGAAAATCTTTAGAGATTGTTCATGTCTAATGCCATACACTAACAAATTATTTATAAGAGTAAATCAGGGGACTTTTTGTGGAAGGAGTTGCAGAAAGCATTATTTTAAAGATCTATTATAGAACCATTATAGAATGAAATTATATTGGTTGGTTAGAAAATATAAAATATAGATATGATTTATTAAATACACGTATTATAAGTTGTGATATGTTTAACACAAGTTTTATATCAATTAAAGTTATATTAATGTCATTGAATTTACCACTGTCAACTAATGTTTACATGACGGAAAGTAAACAATTACTACATGTAATAAAACGTTTCTAAACAGTCAACCAAAATCTGACATGGCGAAACCAATATTCTTAGATTCAAAACTTTAAAAAAATCGCAGTTGAGTTTAAAGTGCAAAATTATAATAATATCAGAGTTATAATAAAACACTTACTTATGTTTTAGGATTGTATTTTAAATAATTCCCCTAGAAATAATAACACCAGCAAACTATATACATAAACAATAGTCAGATTTGTGTTCACCATTAAAAACTAAATAAGAAAGCTCTTGAAAAAATATGTTAGCTAGCCACACAAACAGAAAAATCTATTAGGTCATCGGCACACAAAAATTGAATGTAATTCTTACCGTATACGTCCAGGAATTTTACTGAGGTGGATCGATTTCCGAAAATGTTGCTCGCTACACATGTAAAGTTAACCCATTTGTCAGCAAACACCACTTGGTGAGTGTAATCGTTATATGTGATGTTATTTGCCGTAGCAGAAGAGGAGTCCACATTTGTGGTATTCCGGTACCATGTAATCACTGTGTTAGGCACTCCATTTGTAGATGTACAGTTCATCAGGACAGTTCTTCCTGCCACAGGGTAATATTCAAATGTTTGGATCAATGGTTTTGTTGGGATAGCTACAACGATAAATAAATAACTATATAGTTTTATACCACAATATAGAAAATAACTTGGACATTAGTTGAAATATTTCATCTGGCTTGATATTCTTTGTATAAACTCAAAACGTTAAATAAACATTCCTTACCTCTTGACACGACAGATTTTTCTTCCAGTCATTGTTTGAAAATTTCTTTTTAGATAGCAATGATAACCTTCACATTTGACATTTTATCATTCATGGCAATTCCTACTTGACACTTACATGAATGCATGGTGTATCAAAATAAGAACACAGTCACTGTTCATTGTTTAATGATAGAAACGCTCTCAAATATTAATAGTATTTTTGATCTCGAAATCTTACAACGATATTATTATAACCTTAGATTAAAATCAGTGGATTTAAAGCAATAGTAGTAATTAACTGTAAACGCACAATCACCCAGTATCAATTAGAAGGCGGTACTAAGGTTTATTACCGGCAGTGATTAACTGTATCGGCCTAGCACCTGCAGTTACTTACTTAGGAAGAAGTAAAGGTTACCATAATTTATTAACTGTAGTGATAACCTGTAACGCCTTACTACCGCTTACCGCTTGGAAGGAGGTAAAATTTACCATGATTTATCACCGGTAATTATAAACCATTCAGATTATAGGCGTAAGCAATCACAAAAACTGATCATGAAGTCATTACTTCAAGCAATAAATTTCCAGCATACCACAACACTTAAAGAAAGTCATTGTCTTTTTATAAAAGATGTAAGACAAGATATTGTCGAAGTTGCCTTGTTTGTTACAAAAGATAAAACAAAACACTGAGAGTCTGCAGAAGAAATACAGTTTTCGTATTCAAAGTTCAAGACTTAGAAAAACGAAGGTCATTTTCTATAGACCTTTTTGTTAAAATCATGCCTTTTGAGATTTCGTTGGTGTTGAAAATGTCAGTAACGTATTGGAACTAAGGAAAATTGTGCTTGTTTAACATATATAAGTTGCAGATCTAAGTCTGGTTCTACTGTGAAACATTTATGCATTCTTCACTAGGACAATTAATTTCATAGATTCAAAACAAGGGCCGTTATTAAAGGTTGATTTATTGAAGATGTTACTAACCATAACCGGTAGTTCGAGCTGAAGCAGAAGGCGAGGACTGTCCAGCATAGTTACTTGCCACGGCGTAGTACCTTCCATCATCTGTACTCTGATAATCTTGGATGGTTAGGGTTGCGACAGTAGGAGGCGTTCTCCAAATAATATATTTTGAGTTATCACCAATTACCTGCTGAGTGATACCAAAGGACGATACATGCCACCATGTGACATTGAATTCTATATCAGATGTCACGATACACCTAATGAAGTGAACTGTCGTTAATGAAACATTGGCAGTAGCAGAGGAGTTGAGCTGAATTGTTGGTTTCACTAAAGAACAAAATTTAATAAATTATCAAAAATGTCTTCACACAAGCTGAAGTTTACGTATGTTTAAATTCATCAAAGTTTTCAAACAGACTTTAAGAATTGTATCAAATTTACACGGTAAAATGCAAATGAGATCGTTATTGTTTTAAAAAGCTTGCTACAGTGTTGAAAGCAGAACTATCGATCTCTTGTTTGCTCAAACAACAAGTGTTAGTTGCTATATTGTGTATGTAAAAAGATACATTGTTCGTACATGTGAAAAGATGATTTCCAAACCTTTGATGGGATTGTCAATAATTAACAAACATGGTGTCATTTAGGTTGTCTCTTATTTTGAAACAGATACCTTGTTTTATCTAGACAAACTTTCAATAGGTCAGCAACAGATCATTTTCCTTTAC